ATAAAGGTTTATCATATCAATAAATATATTATACTGTACAATACAAAAAAAGTTTTACGACACCATTGTAAAGGTGAATATAAGTGAGCATCTGTACTAGGATTAAAGTTAAGTAACCAATTATAATTTGTCCAGATCCATTTCCTTATCCTCATGTTTTATATCATTAAGATAAAGGGATACTGCTGACTTGGTCCCAGTACTGGTCTTAATAACAATCCTTGCTAGTTACTCTTTCCCCCATTCTGACAATCACTGCTCTCTCCCCTAAGGTACTCTTGGATCCACTGAGTACATTTCCCTGTTAAAGTTTTTTACCCCATCCTTTTGTGGAGCAGAATATTGAAATCCTTTCCAAAGTACAGTGGACCCCCGCATAACGATTACCTCCGAATGCGACCAATTATGTAAGTGTATTTATGTAAGTGCGTTTGTATGTGTATGTTTGGGGGTCTGAAATGGACTAATCTACTTCACAATATTTCTTATGGGAAAAAATTCGGTCAGTACTGGCACCTGAACATACTTCTGGAGTGAAAAAATATCATTAACCGGGGGTCCACTGTATATCTTTGGCACATTTTTTTCAACAAGTCGGCCGTCTCCCACCGAGGCAGGGTGACCCAAAAAAGAAAGAAAATACTTTCATCATCATTCAACACTTTCACCACACTCGCACATTATCACTGTTTTTGCAGAGGTGCTCAGAATACAACAGTTTAGAAGCATACACATATAAAGATACACAACATATCCCTCCAAACTGCCAATATCCCAAACCCCTCTTTTAAAGTGCAGGCATTGTACTTCCCATTTCCAGGACTCAAGTCCGACTATATGAAAATAAACGGTTTCCCTGAATCCCTTCACTAAATATTACCCTGCTCACACTCCAACAGATCGCCAGGTCCCAAGTACCATTCGTCTCCATTCACTCCTATCTAACACGCTCTCGCATGCTTGCTGGAAGTCCAAGCCCCTTGCCCACAAAACCTCCTTTACCCCCTCTCCAACCCTTTCGAGGACGACCCCTACCCCTCCTTCCTTCCCCTATAGATTTATATGCTTTCCATGTCATTCTACTTTGATCCATTCTCTCTAAATGACCAAACCACCTCAACAACCCCTCTTCTGTCCTCTGACTAATACTTTTATTAACTCCACACTCCGAATTTTCTGCATAATATTTACACCACACATTGCCCTTAAACAGGACATCTCCACTGCCTCCAACCGTCTCCTCGCTGCTGCATTTACCACCCAAGCTTCACACCCATATAAGAGTGTTGGTACTACTATACTTTCATACATTCCCTTCTTTGCCTCCATAGATAACGTGTTTTGACTCCACATATACCTCAACGCACCACTCACCTTTTTTCCCTCATCAATTCTATGATTAACCTCATCCTTCATAAATCCATCCGCCGACACATCAATTCCCCAGTATCTGAAAACATTCACTTCTTCCATACTCCTCCTCTCCAATTTTTCTTTATCTAAATCATTTGATACCCTCATCACCTTACTCTTTTCTATGTTCACTTTCAACTTTCTACACATTCCCAAACTCATCCACTAACCTTTGCAATTTTTCTTTAGAATCTCCCATAAGCACAGTATCATCAGCAAAAAGTAACTGTGTCAATTCCCATTTTGAATTTAATTATCCCCCTCTCCCGAACACCCTAGCATTTACTTCCTTTACAACCCCATCTATAAATATATTAAACAACCATGGTGACATTACACATCCCTGTCTAAGACCTACTTTTACTGGGAAGTATTCTCTCTCTCTTCTACATACACTAACCTGAGCCTCACTATCCTCATAAAAGCTCTTTACAGCATTTAGTAACTTACCACCTATTCCATATACTTGCAACATCTGCCACATTGCTCCTCTATCATATGCCTTTTCTAAATCCATAAATGCAATAAAAACTTACCTACCTTTATCTAAATACTGTTCACATATATGCTTCAATGTAAACACTTAATCTACACATCCCCTACCCACTCTGAAACCTCCTTGCTCATCTGCAATCCTACATTCTGTCTTATCTCTAATTCTTTCAATTATAACCCTACCATACACTTTTCCTGGTATACTTAGTAAACATATTGAGTTAATATATTTCATCTCAGTGAAATATATCTACATACCCATATAAGTGTCTGTAGTATCCTTTTCCCATATGGTTTAGCACTTTTTTGATAATATATTATCCTTTTAACCAGGTTTCCATACGAATAATTAAGTGACTAGGAACACATTGATGTCATAGTGTTTACTAAGAGAACTCTCATTATAGTTAAGTACCGAGATATTCTTGAAGATAATTTTTATGGTTAGCTGTTTATTATTATTAGTCAGAACTACGTACTAAACCCACATGATTCAAGGCTATTTCTATAACATTTGTAGTACTGGTCTTCAATCAGTAAATTTATTTATGGATTATAATGCAGCACTAAGGAATTAGAACAAATTGAGAAAACCAGTTAGTCAAATTTGAATTTTGGGGATGCACAGTGAAGGATAGGTAAGAATATTTGTGCAGTGGGTCATTTGAATTTTTGTCTGCACATTTGCCAACAAAGATATTGAGTGAGACCCTATATGGTAGGAAACATCTTTCATGGTAAAAATTATTAACCAGATTTTTGTCACAGTTCTGATTGTAATAATTAACCAGATTAATAATTTTTTATAGGAAATATTTTTGTTCCCCAGTATTTATTTTTTTATTCTGGAATTTATAGCTCTGAAAATTTTCAATGTTTCATATTCTTCTCTCCTAGATTGGACATGGAGACACATATTACCAAGTAGGTGCTTTTTCCCTTGTGGGTTTAGTGCTTAGTTATGATAATAATTTGCCTGTCATTTAATATTTTCTTTCAGAGGTCAGTATATCTTTAGGCAGGGCGTCTTGATGCAAGGAACTGGAGCTGCTCTATTCCTTGGATCAAACCTGTTACCTCCCATGTGGGGTTTGACACCTGGCTGCAATTCTTTTGGGGGACTCTTCAGGAAATGAGACATACATTTTTGAAGTGTTGTCATTGTAACAATGATGATAAAGTTTGCCAAGATTACAGTGAAGACCTTTACTTGTACAATGTTTCACCAAACATTAAGTTTTTGTAGATACAGACAATGGCTTAATAGTCCATAGGATATGATAACTTGTTCATGTGTAAGTAAAATTACTCGAGTGTGAAAGGCACACTGCAGGAGGCCTATTGGCCCATGTGAGACCTGACAAAATTACTTTAATAAGAAATTCCAGGTATTGTTTCAATTTGTCACATTCTAAGTATATTCAGTTTTGTCCTGTGCCATGAGGTGTGAATATGAGTTATAATACTATGTAACAGGCATTTATTCGTGTTCTGTTCTAAAAGTATGCCTGTGGACTTCTGGCTGTCTTGCCAGTGTATACCTGGTCATAATCACCATATAAAATTCTGTCCACTCTTACATTCTTGGGTCTGGTATATGGTGTTGAGGCTTTATGAAATCCCATATAATCTTGATAGTGACTACCATGACTGCTGGAAGACACTTCGATGGCACCTGTAGGTACATAATATGTTTCTCCATGCGTTGTTAGGTAAGACACATATACAACAGTTAGGTAATCTTTATTCGAGTACAGAAAAGTTAATATAAGCAGAAGAGGTATGAAGCTGATGTAATCAGTCCATCACCCTTGAAGTTTTGAGGTGGTCAGTCTGAAGCAATATATACCGCCAGGAGACGAGATGTAGGCCACTAATAGAGGTAAGAATGTAGTCGTTGGGAGGTCATGTCCCTCTCAAATCCAGCCATTCTCACTAGAAGTCCAAGTTGTTTTCTGTTCTGTACCAAGATACCATCCTGTCACTTCAGCTCCATATTGTTTCAGACTATGGAGCACTACTCTTCTCCAGACTGAGGGACTGACCACCTCAAAACTTCAAGGGTGATGGACTGATTACATTGTCTTCACATCTCTTCTGCTTATATGAACTTTTCTGTACTTGACTGAAGAAGCGTACTGTGTAGGCGAAATGTTTCAAAATAAAGATACCTAATAACATGTCGGTATTTTATACCATTTTGCTGTTCACTTCTCCACACGTTATTTTCCAGCATCTCTTCAGTTGTACATTTAGGGTATATACGAAGGAAACTTTAGGCTTGTGAAGGCATTCACTGCAGATTCTCAATACTTGCAGCTAGAACCTGATTAATACTCTTTGGATTTTACAGTGGTGGAAAAAGATATAGATGAAATTGTTTTTATTTCTCTCTCTAGTACTGTTGAATGCAATATCAAGAAAAGGAAGGGTATAACTCCCCTTGAGATGATAACTTATCTTATTAAACAAGGTAATCCTGAATCTCTCCATAGTTTATAAAGCAAGAAAGAAGTACTAATCAAGGTCTACCTGTGGGCAGTGAGGAATTGCCTACTTCAAGAATGCCTTCACTTTTAATTCTGTTCTATAAATATAAGGCCAAAGAGTATGCAAAAGTACCAGGAGTGAAGTAAACAACACCCAGAGGTACTCTCACATTCAGCATTGACAGGACCTTGACATGATATAGGAGTGGTAAATGTGACCAGGTATAAAGCAGTGAAACAGATGTCTATAGAAATACAGGTATGCGCTTAGATAAAACAAATAACCTCTGCATACAGCATCGCAACTCTATTCACACCTTGTGACATGGCACAAAACTGAAGTACTACACTACAAACATGCCTGAAATAATCAGTTATTAAACTAAAACAATAGGATATTTATTTTAACTGGCATAATACATATTTTCAAATAAAATGAACAACAGGGCAGTGTGCTGTCCATATACAAATATTTTAAACTTTGTACAAATATAGGTCTTCACTGCAATCATGTCTGTTATGGCCAAGAACATATATTTATTTACCTTCATCAAGTTTGGCTTTCAGAAAATGAAGTATCAAAGGAATTAAAATGTTAAAAACCACAGCATACAAATTTTATTACCTTAAAAATTTTTAATTATTTTTACGAGATTTTTTAGATTTCCAGTTTCCACGTCGTCTTGTCCGTTGGTGTTGTGTACGGAAGGTTATGCACTGAAAGAAAGAAGCTTCATAAATGTTTGGGCACTGGTGGACTTTCATACAAAAGAGTTGTCACAAATTCTTTTTTGTGGGGAAAACCTGATATTGGTGGACGAATTTGGGAGAGCACGGAAACGTTTGAAATTAAAAGAGAAAGGAGAAGAGGGATAATGCAATAATAGGTTGAATATCAATTTGGAATGCATATGAAGTGGATGGGTCTATGAAAATGAGGTGAAACAGGATAGGTGTGAGAAAAAGAAAAAGGTCAGTGGTGTGTTGAAATAGCTGTGAAAAGTTTATCCAAGAAGGCCAAAATTAATTTACCAGAGGATAGTGGCACCAACACTTTATTAACACACTGGCTGATTCCCACCAAGGTAGCATAGATTTCAAAGAGTGTAGTGAGGCAGCTAGAGGCAAAGGAATTCTCATGTTCAAGAGCAGTGTCTGCAGAGAATTATGATTATATTGGGGAGGGGGGGGGAGATTGCTAAACCCATAGGGATCATCTTGCACCTAGGGAATGGGAGGCAATCAGGTTCAATCCAAGTAAGGGAGGGAGGAGGTTGACAAGTTCAATTCCTTGGATCAAGATCCCCCTCACCAGTATCAAGAAACCTCCCATTAAAGAATTCTGAGAATAGAAAGTTTTGATAACACTGTTCTCTGGTGTGTTCCCCTTGTTGCCTCAACAGATGTACTTTTTTTTTTTTCCACAGATGCTTCAACGCTCCATTTACACCCCCCTTCCCCAATCTATGCTACAGTTAATCTAATCTTTCAGACTTGTCTGTAAATACACTTGCTCTCATCTAATTATATTCACATCCATACTTTCTCCAGTTTGATATCTAATCATTCACTGATTAGATCTGTTGCTCTAATCACTCCTCTCTATGTTCACTGTTAATTTCTTTCATAGGCCCTCTCAAACTCTTTCCCAACCTTTGCCGTTTCTCTTCAGTTTCCCAAAAAGTAGTGCATCACTGGCAAGGAATTATGACAGCTACTTCATGTAAGATAACTTATATTTTAGGTGTAGTCTCCTGCACATTAGCATTCACTTCTTTTACAACCCATCTATATTGACAAGCACAGGTATGTTCACTTTCAACTTTCTTCGTTTACAAAGCCCTCCTAAACTCCTCCACTAATATTTACAACTTTGTTTCCTTCTGAATCTCCCAAAAGTATCAGCAAAAACTGTCAACTCACATTTTGTATTTGATTCCCCATAATTTAATCCCACCCCTTTCCCCAACACCTTAGCATTTACTTTGCTTACAACCCCATCTATATGTTAAGCAACCATGATAACATTACATATCCCTGTCTAAGGCCTACTTTTACTGGAAAATAATCTCCCTCTCTCTTACACACCCTTACCTCAAAAACTCTTTACAGCATTCAATAACTTACTACCTATTCCATGCACTTACAACAGCTGCCATATTACTTCCCTATCCACCCCTCTATCATATGCCTTTTCAAAATCCATATAATATATATAGTGTGTGCTATATGATTTCAGGTAATCATACATAACCTGGAGAAGAGAGGAATGCAGAGGAGAGAGAGAGATTTTGGGAGATGTTAAGTGAATGTATAGGAGCCTTTGAACCAAGTGAGAGAGTAATTGTGGTAGGGGACCTGAATGCTAAAGTAGGAGAAACTTTTAGAGAGGGTGTGGTAGGTAAGTTTGGGGTGCCAGGTGTAAATGATAATGGGAGCCCTTTGGAACTTTGTATAGAAAGGGGTTTAGTTATAGGTAATACATATTTTAAGAAAAAGAGGATAAGTATACAAGATATGATGTAGGGCGAAATGACAGTAGTTTGTTGGATTATGTATTGGTAGATAAAAGACTGTTGAGTAGACTTCAGGATGTACATGTTTATAGAGGGGCCACAGATATATCAGATCACTTTCTAGTTGTAGCTACACTGAGAGTAAAAGGTAGATGGGATACAAGGAGAATAGAAGCATCAGGGAAGAGAGAGGTGAAGGTTTATAAACTAAAAGAGGAGGCAGTTAGGGTAAGATATAAACAGCTATTGGAGGATAGATGGGCTAATGAGAGCATAGGCAATGGGGTCGAAGAGGTATGGGGTAGGTTTAAAAATGTAGTGTTAGAGTGTTCAGCAGAAGTTTGTGGTTACAGGAGGGAAGAGGAGCGATTGGTGGAATGATGATGTAAAGAGAGTAGTAAGGGAGAAAAAGTTAGCATATGAGAAGTTTTTACAAAGTAGAAGTGATGCAAGGAGGGAAGAGTATATGGAGAAAAAGAGAGAGGTTAAGAGAGTGGTGAAGCAATGTAAAAAGAGAGCAAATGAGAGAGTGGGTGAGATGTTATCAACAAATTTTGTTGAAAATAAGAAAAAGTTTTGGAGTGAGATTAACAAGTTAAGAAAGCCTAGAGAACAAATGGATTTGTCAGTTAAAAATAGGAGAGGAGAGTTATTAAATGGAGAGTTAGAGGTATTGGGAAGATGGAGGGAATATTTTGAGGAACTGTTAAATGTTGATGAAGATAGGGAAGCTGTGATTTCGTGTATAGGGCAAGGAGGAATAACATCTTGTAGGAGTGAGGAAGAGCCAGTTGTGAGTGTGGGGGAAGTTCGTGAGGCAGTAGGTAAAATGAAAGGGGGTAAGGCAGCCGGGATTGATGGGATAAAGATAGAAATGTTAAAAGCAGGTGGGGATATAGTTTTGGAGTGGTTGGTGCAATTATTTAATGAATGTATGGAAGAGGGTAAGGTACCTAGGGATTGGCAGAGAGCATGCATAGTTCCTTTGTATAAAGGCAAAGGGGATAAAAGAGAGTGCAAAAATTATAGGGGGATAAGTCTGCTGAGTATACCTGGTTAAAGTGTATGGTAGAGTTATTATTGAAAGAATTAAGAGTAAGACGGAGAATAGGATAGCAGATGAACAAGGAGGCTTTAGGAAAGGTAGGGGGTGTGTGGATCAGGTGTTTACAGTGAAACATATAAGTGAACAGTATTTAGATAAGGCTAAAGAGGTCTTTGTGGCATTTATGGATTTGGAAAAGGCGTATGACAGGGTGGATAGGGGGGCAATGTGGCAGATGTTGCAAGTGTATGGTGTAGGAGGTAGGTTACTGAAAGCAGTGAAGAGTTTTTACGAGGATAGTGAGGCTCAAGTTAGAGTATGTAGGAAAGAGGGAAATTATTTCCCAGTAAAAGTAGGCCTTAGACAAGGATGTGTGATGTCACCGTGGTTGTTTAATATATTTATAGATGGGGTTGTAAGAGAAGTAAATGCGAGGGTCTTGACAAGAGGCGTGGAATTAAAAGATAAAGAATCACACACAAAGTGGGAGTTGTCACAGCTGCTCTTTGCTGATGACACTGTGCTCTTGGGAGATTCTGAAGAGAAGTTGCAGAGATTGGTGGATGAATTTGGTAGGGTGTGCAAAAGAAGAAAATTAAAGGTGAATACAGGAAAGAGTAAGGTTATGAGGATAACAAAAAGATTAGGTGATGAAAGATTGAATATCAGATTGGAGGGAGAGTGTATGGAGGAGGTGAATGTATTCAGATATTTGGGAGTGGACGTGTCAGCGGATGGGTCTATGAAAGATGAGGTGAATCATAGAATTGATGAGGGAAAAAGAGTGAGTGGTGCACTTAGGAGTCTGTGGAGACAAAGAACTTTGTCCTTGGAGGCAAAGAGGGGAATGTATGAGAGTATAGTTTTACCAACGCTCTTATATGGGTGTGAAGCATGGGTGATGAATGTTGCAGCGAGGAGAAGGCTGGAGGCAGTGGAGATGTCATGTCTGAGGGCAATGTGTGGTGTGAATATAACGCAGAGAATTCGTAGTTTGGAAGTTAGGAGGAGGTGCGGGATTACCAAAACTGTTGTCCAGAGGGCTGAGGAAGGGTTGTTGAGGTGGTTCGGACATGTAGAGAGAATGGAGCGAAACAGAATGACTTCAAGAGTGTATCAGTCTGTAGTGGAAGGAAGGCGGGGTAGGGGTCGGCCTAGGAAAGGTTGGAGAGAGGGGGTAAAGGAGGTTTTGTGTGCGAGGGGCTTGGACTTCCAGCAGGTATGCGTGAGCGTGTTTGATAGGAGTGAATGGAGACAAATGGTTTTTAATACTTGACGTGCTGTTGGAGTGTGAGCAAAGTAACATTTATGAAGGGGTTCAGGGAAACCGGCAGGCCGGACTTGAGTCCTGGAGATGGGAAGTACAGTGCCTGCACTCTGAAGGAGGGGTGTTAATGTTGCAGTTTAAAAACTGTAGTGTAAAGCACCCTTCTGGCAAGACAGTGATGGAGTGAATGATGGTGAAAGTTTTTCTTTTTCGGGCCACCCTGCCTTGGTGGGAATCGGCCAGTGTGATAATAAAAAAAAATAATAATAATAAAATACATAACTAGATATTGCTCAGTTAGCTTCAGCACCATAGAAAGTTAATATTATTTTTTTGAAAGCTCTATAATCATACAAGAAAATTATATATTATAATAATTATTATTAGGGATGAGCACTTAACTCATGAGCCCCTCAATATAATTCAGGGGTCCTGTAAGAAAAGCTATATGTTTTTATAAAAGATAAAACTCCACAGCAAGATTTTCACAGTGATCCCACTATACAAAGTTTAAAAATTAATACTTACCTGGTCATCCAATAGGTTCAACAGGATCTTCATGCTACATTTAATACCATTGACCTTTAAGGATTCTTGCAATTCCTTTATAAAGATAGGTTCATAAAGCAAAACTTTATGGTGTAGATCTGGATCACTGGTGATGAACTGCAACACTTTACTATGAATATCAACTGTAATGAAATTAAAACTTGAATTATAACAATTTTACAAGCTGGTTGAAAAACTGCAGAAATATAAAAGGGGCCATCATTTTCCTAACTATTAACTTTTAAATATGAAAATCAGTCTACCCTAAAATATAAAATATTATACAGGACTTCAATATACAGTGGACCCCCGGTTTACGATATTATTTCATTCCAGAAGTATGTTCAGGTGCCAGAACTGAACGAATTTGGTCCCATAAGGAATATTGTGAATTAGATTAGTCCATTTCAGACCCCCAAACATGCACTTACATAATTGGTCGCATTGGGAGCTGATCGTAAAGCGGGGGTCCACTGTATATAACATGTTATTAATTAGTGATAGTTCCTGTAACCGAACTAAAAAGAGAGAACTTGTTTCCTTCAAATTTTTGATTGACTAGTTGGATATTTCAGGTAAATAGTTAATTTGATACTAGAAGAAAACTAAGTCAAAATAAAATGTTTCTTGAACAACTTGCAATACACAGGTCTGAGTCTACCACATGTGCACAAAATTACAACAAAAGAAAATGACAAGAAATCAATGTATTTGATGAAGATAATAAATGATGTTTAAGCCTTGCAAAATTTATACCTTGAAGCTGCAGCTACACACCCTGACATGCAGCCCTGATGGGACTCGTGCTTGATAGTCTGACACCCATCACTTTATCAAGAGGCATTTGCCACCTACCATCAAGCTGTTGAATGTTCAGCTTCCCACTTGACTACACTTGTCTCAAGCAAAATTTACAAAGCACACAGCGCTGTATGACCCTGCTGGGCTTAGTGCCTAGTTTTGATTATAATCATAATAATACGAAGCACATCCATGGAACTGATGGAAGAAGGAAATCATATCTTTATCAGAGTAGCAGAAATAAGCCAAGCCTTGCACTGGGCCAGCATTGGTGGCCTTGTCCATTAGACAAAGGATTAAAGACTGCAAGCTGGCAATTGGATGAAGAGAGAAAATAGTGCAAGGCCTTTAATATAACGATGTTTCACTTCAAGGGAAGCTTTACAGAAAACACACACTACTTATATAGGCTATCTGGTCAGGTGAGGACCTGGCTTATGGATTTGTGCTAATGCACAGGTGAGCTCCCATTTGGTCAGGCAAGGAGTAAGGTAATGACCTGACTTAAATGACTTGTTCTGCTGCATAGGCAAGGTAACAAGCTGGTCATTTGGCTAGATGGAGAATGAGGTGAGGACTTGAGTTATTTGACTTGTGCTACTGTGTGATGTCACATGCTGGCAGGTGGCAGAGTATCTGGACAACAGGTTTTACTAGCATGAATGAACCCATTTTGCTCTATAGTTACATGATCCTTGGTGGTGGTGGCTTCCAGGAATAAGTGTATGGAAGCTGCCTTCTTCAAGACCTGATACTACAGAGCAAAACCAGGGTGCATTCATGTTGCAAAAAATCTTTTGCCTAAATTCTATGTCACTTGTAAGCATGTGACCCAACCCATGCAGAAGCACAAGTCACATAACCCAGGTTCCCATCTCACTCTACCTCGTAGGACAGCTTATATAAGTAATAGTTTCTGTGGTTTTTGTAATGTAATTTTATAAAGCTTCCCTTGAAATTAAGTTGTTATAATAAAGGCTCACACTTTTGTGTTTTCATCCATAGGAGGAGTTCAAACCCAAGCCATTTCAATCACAAGCTGAGAGGTCAGTTCTCAGGACTTGCCAGTCCATAATCACATGGGTTGTCAGGGAAGGTACTCCACAAAGGATGACGGGATGGGGAAAAGATCCTCCAGATTGAATATCCAGGGTGGCATTGTGCTGTATGGGCTGTAGATTAGTAATTTTTATGTTTGCACATTATTTTCCTTACCACTCTCCCTTTTTATATGTCCTTTCTAAAATATTTTTCAATTCACTCTTTCTTTATTGCAAGATCTTTGTAATTTTTGTTGAACTAGACCACTTCCAGCAGTCTTATGTTAAGTTCTCATATACAGTAGGGCCCCACTTATACGGCTGGTTAGGTTCCAGGCTACCGCCGTAAAGTGGAACACCCTTTTTTTCCACTTACAAATGCATACAAACACTAGATAACAAGTTTACACTAACATATATTAAGTTAGCAATAGAACCAGGCATCAAAAAACAATAAAAAAGTACAATACACACATAGTGCACTCATTACTTACCTTAAAATATTTATAGTCTTAATCTAGGGTGAGACAAGTAGTATTTATTGTAAGAAATCAAGTGTGGTATGTATGGTAGTCAGCCAGGCTACCATACCAGGCCACCCCACCCACACATACAATTCTATGATATTTAAGCATCCCAGAGCGATAAAATGTATATACAGTTCACTCATTACTTACCTTAAAATATAGGGCGAGATGAGTAGTATTTATTGTAAAAAATCAAGTGCGGTATGTATGGTAGTCAGCCGGGCTACCATACCAGGCCAACCCACCTACACATAATATTCTATTACATTTAAGCATCCCAGAGCGATAAAATGTATATACAGTTCACTCATTACTTACCTTAAAATATTTGTAGTCTTAATGTAGGGTCAGGAGTAAGTAAATGAGATAAAACGAATAAATGAGAGAGAGAAAGAATGAGTGCATGAGAGAGTACAGGCGCAGAGTTATGTAAACAAACCAGGCGAAGGTAAGTTTTGTAAACAAAGTGTACACGTCTGGTTTGTGTACAAGTTACATTGTGTACAGGTTGTCTCTACATTGATACGGTAGAATAAATAAAGAAGAACACTCCCATTCTCATGTAACATCATTTTGAGAAGAAATGATGCTCTGAGTGAAGGCAATGGAAATAAGTCACTCTGACTTTTTTGGGTTATCCTAGGTTCTCTACACATATGTTGTTATGTATGATAATGTATGTAACTGTATTTGTGTATACCTGAATAAACTTACTTACATACATACGAAAGGAATAATTTTCTACAGTTACCCCCAGTAACACATTTTCTCTTATGTTAGATTAGAGAAAATGTTATTCTTGGCATCACTTGTACAAGTTATCTGGCTACCACATCTCATATTTATGTTTATTTATTCTATTGTGGGGTGTATGTATCATCTTTTTATGTTATGTATCGTGTTTATTATATAATTTTGAAAAAAATATCATGGATGGATTAATGAAAATGTGTATATTAACGCAATATACAACATTTAATGAGACTCGGTGATTATTATTATTATTTCTAATATGGAGTCACTTGTGCAAGTCGTCTGCTACCACATCTCATATTTATGTTTATTTATTCTATTGTGGGGTGTATTTATCATCTTTTTATGTTATGTATCGTGTTTATTATATAATTTTGAAAAAAATATCATAGATGGATTAATGAAAATGTGTATTTAACGTAATATACGACATTTAAATGAGACTCGACGATTATTATTATCATTACTAATATGACATCTGGAGACATAAGACACTCTTACTGATTTTAATGTGTACCTGCATGCCAGCACAGTATGTAAGTTTATTTAAGTACAGGTATACATAAGTATAATTATCAGAGTATATATAAAACATGAAATAACTTTTAAAAACATTTGAAATTTTGGAGTTTCCAGACAAAATGGAGAGACTTAGTGCTTACTGAGCTCACGAAGAATGTAAACAAACAGGGTGGGGCGCGGTGACCGTATTAGAAAGTCAGGTGGGGGGGAGCCGTATAGTGAGTTTTGGTCATAATTTGAAATGACCGTATTAGCGGAATGCCGTAAAGTGAAACGCCGTAAAGCGGGGCCCTGCTGTATACCCAACTACCTAATATGACAATATTAAAGCTTTCCCCTGGCAGTTAATACAAAAATACTAATTTCTTAATCACAAATTCATGTGCAAGAGTATGAAAAATTTAATCTTCACCCATACCAAAACTTTACCCCAATAAAACAGGCATTGGTAACTGTTTAACAAGTGGATATGAAAAACAAACCACCCTTGAAGTACCTGCTGTATATGAAATGAGTTGAAATTTCATCACTTGAATGGGAAGCATTTAGGTTTGATTCAAGGAAGGGAAGGAAATCAACTCCTTGTATCATAAGCCTTTGGCCAGCATCAAGGAACTTTGAGGGAAGATATGAACAAGACAGATCAGTAGTTTTACAGTATATTAAGAAGCATAATATTAACTGGGAGGCTGCCTCTATTACTATATATACAAATGTGAATAATAATAATCCTTATTTCTACAAGTACATGTACAAGGTACACAGGCCCAGCTGACAATAGTGACATACTACTATACAGAGAGCCCCCTTGTTATACAGAGCATTTCGGGCAAATTACGTCAGTTTTGTCCCAGGATGCAACCCACACCAGTTGACTAACACCCAGGTACATACTTTACTGAGAAGAAAACAGGGACAGCAGGTTACTTAACGAAACACGTCCTAAGGCTTCCACCCGTACCAGGGATCAATTCCCAGACTTCAGTGTGTGAGCAGAGTGCACTACATCTACATATGAGACCCTCAAATAAGCTTTGACCAGACTTAAAACCTCGCATCCCTCTGGGAAAGTTCCTTGATACTGGATAACTCTTGATGCAAGGAATCTGACCTGTTCTTTCCTTGGATTGAATCCAATTGTCACCCATTTCCCTAGGTAATATTTGACACCCTACAGATATACTGGTTTACCCTCAATATAATAATAATAATAATTCAAAACTCATTGATGGGCAATGAAAACCTGATGCTATATGACTATTACCCTTGCTGGAGGAAACCAAGGCTCTACAACAGAAATACTGTTAACCACCTGTTATAGTGGAAAGCCACAGTACCATGACTGGAACCATTCATAACACACTCAAATTGGAAATAAATTTCCAGACAGCATTAATTGTCCATGACCAATCAGAGTCATATAAAGATAAAATTAGTGTGGGTTAATTATGAAAGAAGACTTGGAAAGATGTTGAAAAGTTAATCAAAGGTGAACACTGATGTGCAAGTAAACTTGGATGAGGCAAATTACAAAACAGAAGGAACAAAGTTGCAAATGTGGAAAATAAAGACTAAAGTGGACATGTTTTACAAAAAGTACACTTACATAGAAGAGTTGATGAAATAGTTTGATCACTTAGTAAGAATACAAAATACTGATAATAAGGGCATATACCATATATTATATCTGGGGATGGATATAAGGAGGGTAGGAATAAGAGAGCTTAGGCATCCAGCAGGAATACACATGTAGTATAACCAGCACAGTAGACCCCTGGTTTTCGTAATTAATCCGTTTCAGAAGGTTGGCCAAAAACTGAAGTAATATTTCCCATGAGAAATAATGCAAATCCAATTAATCTGTTTCAGACACCCAAAAATATTAAAAGAAAAATACATTTTATAGAAAATAACTAGTTTTACATACAAAAATAATGAGAAATATAAATGACTAATTTTAATGATAAATGAACATTACATACCTTCACTGAAGACTCTTGTTGGCGAGTTGTATTTATTTGTAGTCCCAGACGGACTACATCCCAGGCGTGTACCTACTGGCTACGTATACTGCGGCCTACAGCCATATTATTACCATCAACATACCACATTCACTGAGTTTAATCATTTCTAACGACTACCTTTAGATGCCATCATAAACAAAGGGAAAAGTAATGAATAATTCATGTTGAGAATTGTAAACAAAAGCCTTATGTACTATTAAGGGCTGTTACTGGGCCAATGCAGATTCATACATGTTTTCTCTGAAGCTGGACCAGAGAAAGTGTAATGTTTCCCCTCCACCTGACCCCACCCCTTGATAGCATATAAATATTGCATGTTTATATGCTATGTAACGTGTTTCTTATATAATTTTTAAGAAAATATATGGATTAATGAAAATGCCTATATTAACGTAAAATAAGACATTTAATGTGCCCAAGAGTGATTATTATTACGTACTATTAGTATTACTATGGCGTTAAAACTAGAGAGTCACTCTTAGTGAACGAGTAACAAAGGCATGTTTATATGCTATGTAATGTGTTTCTTATAGTACTGTATAATATTGAAGAAAATATCATAGATGGATTAATGAAAATGTCTATAATAATCTAAAATAAAACATTTAATGTGCCCAAGAATGAGTCACAAATGTACGAGTGGACCAGGCGCATGGGTCTGGTACCAACGATTAATGAGTGGATGTATGAAAGCTGGGGTAAATTTCACTGAAAAAAGTGCTTGAAATCCGAATTGTATAATTTCCACACTGGCTGAAAACTGGGGGTCCACTGTATAATAAGACTTCATCCAATTTTAGTAAAAACTATGTACATTGTAGAAATAATTTTATGATTATAATGGAATAAGTGGAGACAAGTGGTGTTTGGGATTTAAAGGGCTTCCTGAGCATGATCCTGGAAATATTCCTGAAAATCCAACTTACCTTGTTGAGTTGAAGTAATATTGTCATCATCATCAATCCCCAACAACATCGATTCTTCATGGCAATCAAATGAAGACCCATCAGTACTGCAAATGTGAAAACATACTGTAATTAGCAAAACCTATACACTGAGCATTTAGGTTGCTTCCTATATACAAATTCTAAAAAAGACCCAACTAAGCAATAACAGATTTTCTACTAATTACAGGTATCAACTACAAGTAGTATCCTTGTTTGCAGATAATGTTAAAATAATGAGAATACCCAGTGAAGAGGATAAAAGTAGGTTGGAAGACCTGGATAGTTTTTTGGAATGTTCATATAAATGGTTGCTGGAGTGTAACCAGAATACAGGCAAAGTCATGAAGCTGAGAAACAGCAAAAGGAGGCCAAAATCAGAGTACCACATAGGGTAGGGTAAATAATCACAAACATTACTACAAACTTCTCTTGAGCAGCTTAAAGACAGCATAACATCTGTGAAGGAAATTCTCCAGTGAAGGGGGAGAGGGCTAAAGTCTCTCAGAGGGCTGAGAGATACCCCCTTTACAGTTGTATAACGTTTTTCTGGGTTTAGCGTTTAGTCTAATTATATTATTATTAACACTGCATACTAAGTCTGCAAACACAGGAGTGACATTCAAAACACACCAACTCTTATTCCCTGTCCTTCAAGGAGAGTTCTTTGATGCTGGTAGAGGCTTTTGATTCAAGGAACTGGAGTTACCCCTCATCTTTCTAGGATCAAACCTAATTACCCCCCTTTCTCCAGGTGTTGTGACTCCTGTGGGTAGTGCTTTCCATAAATATAATAATAATTTACCTCTTACACATGACGCATCATTAAGAATGCAATGATGGTGTGAACTTGCACCTAACAAAACAAAGTGAATCTTGAGAGTACAAAGGAAAGCATAGAGATTAACACTCGAGTTGAAGGTAATGAAACAATACTTCAGTGTAAGAGTGATAAATAAGTGTAATGAGCTGAACAATAGAAAAGTGGAAGTGAAAATAAGTATGATGGCTTTAAAAAATAAGTATAATAGCTTTTAATCACGATACTATTGAAAATTAAAGGCAAGGCCTTTTAACACTCACAAACTCAAATGAGTAATTACTGTACTATAAAGTATTTTTTCAGAGTGGCAGATTGCTGGACTGGGATTCAAGAGACAGTAAATGCTACCAATGGAATATTCAAGAAATTACATGACAAACTGGTCAGTGAAGACACGATATTCTGAGCAATCCTATTCCTGTACATGTAAATAACAATGACATTTACTTCAGAAGCTTGTGATGCTTATGATCTTTAACTCTGTTAACTATTTATGTTTCTAAAACATCTATTTACATATTTTTTTTTTCAATTTAATACACATTCTCCTTTCCTTGGTAATCAGTGATTAATAGCATCTTGTTTTCTTGGATGCTTGAAGGTAAACTTCATGAAAGATATTCATAATATACTGTTACACCACCATCAAGCGACAAAGCCTAAGATTTTGTTTTAATATTTAAATTCTTTACCTACCCCTTAGGCTGACATGTAGGTGAAAGGTGCTGCATATGATCAGGCAAGAACACACAAAATATTAGTGTCCACAGTAAACATGAAGTAGAGGAAAAAATGGAGAGGGATATAACGTCTGTATTTTCCTCATGTTAATTTACGTACAATTTATCTTTGTACAAAACGGCTGTGGTAAAAAAAATTAAATTATAAAATAGCCTAATCTCGTACAATCAGATTTTTCTCAAATGTACAGTATAACCATTCTTGTAAATTGTTCTCTTACATATAAAAGCAGTATAAAAAAAAAAAACCTTGCATACAATACTAATTATGTTTTGAACTAAAATGTGTACCAGTGGTCTATCCAACATTACAGCATGCATATATTACAGGCACTGATCACCATCCTCAGAAAAATTACCTTGTACTTGATATTTGAGAGGAATTAAGCTGGCTACTTTCTTCACCACTCTCATCACTATCCCCTCCGTCAATTACAATTACTTTCTCTTTATTTTCTGTAGTAGTTAACTTCTTAAATTGTTTACCATCTGCTTCAGTTGATGATCTTTTGTTCTCTGCTCTCATATTATCATGCTGAATGGCGTTATTTTCCATATTCGCTGCAAGAAATTGTAAAGCATAATGAGTGGTAACAAAACATTTAACAAGACACAACACACTGACAGGTGCACAATACATAGCAAGAGGTCCATTAATTACAATACAAGCGAATGCTAAAGATTTTGAGAAAGCACTGGTACTTTCTAAAACAACTGCACCAATCTAACTAAAAAATATATATTAAACAATTATTCACTCAACCTTCACTTTTCACATACATACCTTACCTTCCTCTTTCTTTTTCATAAAACCTCTCATTAAAAAAATATAAAACTCAAATTATTAAGGAAACACTGTTCAATTCTCCAAATCCTTAAAGGCAGTGAACACAATCTTCAGTTTAACAATACCCATTAACCCTTTGAGGGTTTCGGATGTACTAGTACGGCTTACGAACCAGGGTTTTTGACGTACTAGTACGCCTAAATTCTAGCGCCCTCAAATCTAGTGGGAGAAAGCTGGTAGGCCTCCATATGAAAGAATGGGTCTATGTGGTCAGTGTGCATGGTATAAAAAAAATCCTGCACACAGTGCATGAGAAAAAAAAACTTTGTTTTTTTGGAATAAAACAGCGACTTTGCACTGTATTTTCGTATGGTATTTATTGTTGTATTCTAGTTTTCTTGGTCTCATTTTATAGAATGGAAGGCATATCATAGAAATTGAGATTATTTTGACTGGTTTTACAATTGAGCTCAAAGTAGCAGAAATGTTCGAGCTTTACCAAAGTTCAAAAGTAAACAAATCATGCCAAGCGTCCAATACACGTCAACTGGTGAGTCTAATATTCTTTTGCAAGTGCGCCAATATGATTCATACCATTTTTTACACTAATGCAGTAGTCTGCATAACAGTAAATCTTCTATTTTTTTTTGAGAATAAAAATTCAAAGTGGAAAGCAAAAGAAAGTAAGAGGGGCCTTGAGACGTGACTAATGAACAGAGGAAATGTCATTTTAGTGCCAGGAATGTATTTCTTGTTTGTTCTGGACCCTATTCGGAAATTGGCATCTTTTGAAATTTGTGTGAAATTGGCAAAATTGCTAAATTCTGACCACTGTACTGGATAGTTGAAATTGGTAAATGGGTGGTTTCTTGCACTCATTCAATAGAAAAAATGGAGTTCTAGCGAAATATTCATGTTTTTTGTCAACTAGTACAGTGGAACTGGCCGAAAATGGGGCTCAAAGTGGGCAAAATCGCCGATCCGTAAACATCGCCGAGACCGCTAACTTCGCAAGAGCATAATTCCGTAAGTTTTCCATTAAATTTCATATTTTTAGTGTCATTATGATCGGGAAAAGATTCTCTTATCTTTTCATAAGAAAAAATAATTTTTTTTTTTTAAAATTTGGCTGACCCTGAGAACGAGTCTCGGAGAGGGCCTGTCGACCCTCAAAGGGTTAAACAGCAACTATCATCCTCATTGCAAAAATTGTCATATAAAATTAGTAAATCTGAAAGTTTTCTTATTCATCATGAATTTTACCTTGTGATTTTTTAATTGTTTCTGGTGTAAATTTATTACTTGTAACATTTAAAAAACTCATATACAGGAAGGCCCCACTTATACGGCTGGTTAGGTTCCAGGCTACCGCCGTAAAGCGGAAACCGCCGTAAAGTGGAACACCCTTTTTTTCCACTTACAAATGCATACAAACACTAGATAACAAGTTTACACTAACATATATTAAGTTAGCAATAGATTATTATTATTATTATTATAATCAAGGGGGAAGCGCTAAACCCGGAGGATTATACAGCGCCTGGGGGGGGGATGTGGAAGGCATTCAGGCTTAATTCGGGGAACTGGAGCACAGATCCAATTCCCTAAATCAAGAGCCCCTCACCAACATCAAGGAACCTTCCTTGAGGGGAGTTAGCAATAGAACCAGGCATCAAAAAACAATAAAAAGTACAATACACACATAGTGCACTCATTACTTACCTTAAAATATTTATAGTCTAAATATAGGGTGAGATGAGTTGTATTTATTGTAAAAAATCAAGTGTGGTATGTATGGTAGTCAGCCGGGCTACCATACCAGGCCAACCCACCCACACATATATTCCATGATATTTAAGCATCCCAGAGCGATAAAATGTATATACAGTTCACTCATTACTTACCTTAAAATATTTGAAGTCTTAATGTAGGGTCAGGAGTAAGTAAATGAGATAAAACGAATAAATGAGAGAGAGAAAGAACGAGTGCATGAGAGAGTACAGGCGCAGAGTTATGTAAACAAACCAGGCGAAGGTAAGTTTTGTAAACAAAGTGTACACGTCTGGTTTGTGTACAAGTTACATTGTGTACAGGTTGTCTCTACATTGATACGGTAGAATAAATAAAGAAGAACACTCCCATTCTCATGTAACATCATTTTGAAAAGAAATGATGCTCTGAGTGAAGGCAATGGAAATAAGTCACTCTGACTTTTTTGGGTTATCCTAGGTTCTCTACACATATGTTGTTATGTATGATAATGTATGTAACTGTATTTGTGTATACCTGAATAAACTTACTTACATACATACGAAAGGAATAATTTTCTACAGTTACCCCCAGTAACACATTTTCTCTTATGTTAGATTAGAGAAAATGTTATTCTTGGCATCACTTGTACAAGTTATCTGGCTACGATGGAAATAAATGGTATAAAATACCGACACAATGGAAATATAAACACAAATGCAGTATAATGTGATCCTTTATTGACTGCGTTTCGCCCACACAGTGGGCTTTTTTTAAGTCACAAACAGAACTACCTGGGGTGGAAGGAACGCGAGTATTTATAGTCCGGTTCAGAATGCTGAGGTCAGGTGAAGAATGTTGCATCTGATGATGTACCGAGTGGGGTTATAGAGTCTAAAAACTTGGGTAGCTTGGAAAGGAGATTATACAAGTTTATGAGCAGACCTTCTACAGTGTTCTTATGTGGGATAGCGACGAAGAAGTTTCTTGGCAAGTGGTTCAGCTATGTTACAGAAGCCACTATTCTGGTTGAAGTTGTCGGATATAGAAATAAGTGAAGATTCCAGGATTCTTCGGTATTGAGTGTTGTCTTCTGTGGCGATAAGTCTTGAGTTTCTGTAGTTTATCAAGTGGTTGTGTGAATTACGGTGTTGTACGCAGGCATTCCTTGTGTCGTCAGACCTGCTTGCGTATTGGTGTTCTGAAATGCGTGTTTGGAGGTCCCTTGATGTTTTGCCCACGTATAACTTGTTGCAGTCATTACAAGGGATTGTGTATACCCCTGCAGAGGATGGAGGCTTGTCCTGTCTACTACTGGTGATGTCCTTGATGGTCGTGGTTGTGGAGGTAGATACTTGGAATGATGTTTTGGCAAAGATGTTGGAAACATGTTTGGCAATGGAGTTGGTGGGAAGGACTAAACGCTTCAACTCCTAAACGCTTCAACGTTCAAGCTCTCCAAGACAAGCTCAACCAGGTCGAGCCTTCAATCCAGTTCACACTTGAAGAAGAAGTCGACAACACTCTTCCTTTCCTTGATGTCCTGCTCTGCAAAGCTGACCACGAACTTCGTTTTAAAGTCTATCGAAAACCCACCAACCAAAACGATCTTCTCCACTTCCACTCTCACCACGACACCAAAACCAAACGTGGTGTAATTATAGGCTTCTTCCTGCGTGCACTCAGAATCTGCAGCAACGAGTTCCTTGAGGAAGAATGCACTATAATTGAACAAATATTTTCTAAACTCCACTATCCTCGTCACTTCATCAGAGACTGCAGACGGCGGGCATTAAACATCTTCAACACACCCAGAGAAGACACTGCCGAGAAGAGATACATAGTCCTTCCCACCAACTCCATTGCCAAACACGTTTCCAACATCTTTGCCAAAACATCATTCCAAGTATCTACCTCCACAACCACGACCATCAAGGACATCACCAGTAGTAGACAGGACAAGCCTCCATCCTCTGCAGGGGTATACACAATCCCTTGTAATGACTGCAACAAGTTATACGTGGGCGAAACATCAAGGGACCTCCAAACACGCATTTCAGAACACCAATACGCAAGCAGGTCTGACGACACAAGGAATGCCTGCGTACAACACCGTAATTCACACAACCACTTGATAAACTACAGAAACTCAAGACTTATCGCCACAGAAGACAACACTCAATACCGAAGAATCCTGGAATCTTCACTTATTTCTATATCCGACAACTTCAACCAGAATAGTGGCTTCTATAACATAGCTGAACCACTTGCCAAGAAACTTCTTCGTCGCTATCCCACATAAGAACACTGTAGAAGGTCTGCTCACAAACTTGTCCAATCTCCTTTCCAAGCTACCCAAGTTTTTAGACTCTATAACCCCACTCGGTACATCATCAGATGCAACATTCTTCACCTGACCTCAGCATTCTGAACCGGACTATAAATACTCGCGTTCCTTCCACCCCAGGTAGTTCTGTTTGTGACTTGAAAAAGCCCACTGTGTGGGCGAAACGTAGTCAATAAAGGATCACATTATACTGCATTTGTGTTTATATTTCCCTTATCTGGCTACGACATAAGATAAGATAAGATTTCGTTCGGATTTTTAACCCCGGAGGGTTAGCCACCCAGGATAACCCAAGAAAGTCAGTGCGTCATCGAGGACTGTCTAACTTATTTCCATTGGGGTCCTTAATCTTGTCCCCCAGGATGCGACCCACACCAGTCGACTAACACCCAGGTACCTATTTGCTGCTAGGTGAACAGGACAACAGGTGTAAGGAAACGTGTCGAATGTTTCCACCTGCCGGGAATCGAACCCGGGCCCTCCGTGTGTGAAGCGGGAGCTTTAGCCACCAGGCCACCATATTTATGTTTATTTATTCTATTGTAGGGTGTATTTATCATCTTTTTATGTTATGTATCGTGTTTATTATATAATTTTGAAAAAATATCATGGATTAATGAAAATGTGTATATTAACGTAATATACAACATTTAATAAGACTCGGTGATTATTATTATTATTATTAGCATTTCTAATATGGCGTCACTTGTGCAAGTCGTCTGCTACCACATCTCATATTTATGTTTATTTATTCTATTGTGGGGTGTATTTAACATCTTTTTATGTTATGTATCGTGTTTATTATATGATTTTGAAAAAATATAATAGATGGATTAATGAAAATGTGTATTTAACGTAATATACGACATTTAAATGAGACGATGATTATTATTATCATTACTAATATGACGTCTGGAGACATAAGACACTTACTGATTTTAATGTGTACCTGCATGCCAGCACAGTATGGAAGTTTATTTAAGTACAGGTATACATAAGTATAATTATCAGAGTATATATAAAATATGAAATAACTTTTAAAAACATTTGAAATTTAGGAGTTTCCAGACAAAATGGAGAGACTTAGTGCTTACTGAGCTCACGAAGAATGTAAACAAACAAGGTGGGGCGCGGTGACCATATTAGAAAGTCAGGTGGGGGGAGCCGTATAGCGAGTTTTGGTCATAATTTGAAATGACCGTATTAGCGGAACGCCGTAAAGTGAAACGCCGTAAAGCGGGGCCTTCCTGTACTGTATACAGTAGAACCCCCATACTCACAAATTCCGTATCCACAGTTTCAGTTATTCGCGGTTTACCATAGCCTGAAAATAACGCTTAATTTGCTAAATAATAGTCCCAAAGTGCAAAAGTAGTGATGCAAAGCCTAAAAGAAACCGTAAAATGCTTCCCATCAGTGGAAACTTGCTAATTCTAGAATTATTTTGCATAATTTATCAATTAAACTATCATAGGTATATGAAAAATGACTAGTAGGTCTTGGAACATATCTCTCGTGTATACTGTAATAGTTTTACAAGCCTGACTCAAGGCCAGGCTGCCATACTAGGAAAGCTCTCATAACCGGTCAAAGGTATACGTACTTACCAAAAATGCCATTACAATAATTTTTTACCTTTTTTTTCCAAACAAAAATTTTCCTGTTTCAGCATTTAACCTACAGAGAGAGATTTATTACCTGTGGTCCTGAGTTACAATCATGACATGGGTAAACATTTTTAAATTAAGGGAACTTACTTACATTTAAGACTTGCAAGTGTTTTTGGATTGGGAGTTTCACAAAAACTGCTGTCTGCCTCGCTATCAGTGACCAGGGGATGAGTCTGTTCATACAGATGTTGCAAGAGTACTACAGCTTTTCGGCGGCCCAAAGGTCGAACACCATACTTTGTTAACTGTTTCTGTTTAATATAATGTAAATACTGAACACATAGATTATAAAGAACAGAGATAAATACTGTATCTTGCCAAATAAATATTACCATAAGAAATAGTATTTTCTACATAGGCTGAAAAATACCCATGAAAACTCTGTTGCTTAACTAAAATAAATATTAAAGCATGGTAATCTATAATAATATTAAACTGTCCTATTTTCTGTACAAACAATTAAACTATTAAAACAGAAACTAGTCACAGACTTGACCACAGTAATTATTACTGACATATAATTTTAAGGTGTGTAGTTGCAAATTAGTTCATTTCATAATTATGAAAAAAAGTGAGGATTATTAGTTTCTGAGTGCTAACTGGAGAATGCCTTTCCTGACTGGCTTCAAAATTTCCCAACAGGTGTATTATACCAAAGAAATCTTTGTATTATTATTGGGTTTTGTACATGCCAGTTTGAAAATTTTATTGAACGAATTGGGATACAAGTTTTCATGCCCTAACTTAACAATGCCTCTCCTGATTAGTTTCATCCTTTCAACACTTAGTTGAAGGTTTGATTACTTTTGGGCTTTATGCATGCCACTTTGCCAATTTTATTATTATATTTGTGAGAGCACTAAAGCTGTAGGGGGCATACAGTGCTTGGGGAATGAGAGGCAATCAGATTTAATTCATGGAAGAGAAGGGAAGTTCCATTTTTTGCAGCACGAGTCATTCACAGTCATCAAGGCACCATGAGTCATTCACAGTCATCAAGGCACCACGAGTCATTCACAGTCATCAAAGCACCATGAGTCATTCACAGTCATCAAGGCACCATGAGTCATTCACAGTCATCAAGGCACCATGAGTCATTCACAATTAAGGCACCATCAGTCATTAATGGATATCAAGCCACCATCCCCCTTCCCTTGATGAATGTTATGATAAAAAAAATGCTGGTACTATTTATTCTCTTGGCTAGAAAGAGCAGTAGCCAAAAGGGAAGCAACAAAAGTGATAAAAGAAGGAAGTGAGATGGTGAAGAGTGCCCAGTTAAAAAGTTCCATTTTCAAGAAAGAAATGCAAATTGTAGGGAGAAAGATGAAGACAGTGAGAGTCTGAATAACAACAGCAGATGAAAGAAGACTATTAGTAGGAATATGCCAAAGAGTAAATTTTTTGAGGAGAGCAAGTTGTCGTAGCTTAGGGCAAACTACAGACTCTGAGGTCGAGACTGACTCATCACACCTAGAGGTAGAGGAAATGCTCAATAAATGGGGAAACATAAAGGAGGGGAAAGCTGAAATGCTGGTTATGCATAAAATATATGGAAGTGGAAGGAATCAAGTGTGAGGTGGAAAATTTGAAACTGATAAAATTTGAAGAGGTAAAGATGTCAGAGAGGAGTCACTTATAACAGTCTGCCATTTTAAGAGAGTAGAGTTATGACTTGGTCATAATGTGCATTATTCTTCTGCTTAGAAAACAGAGTTCACATTCACAAAGGAAGATGGAAGATGGTGTACTGGGAGGAACAATTAAAACAAGGAGAGTGCTTGAAAGAGGGATCATTATACAGTGGACCCCCGCTTTACGATCACCTCCCGATGCAACCAATTATGTAAGTGTATTTATGTAAGTGCGTTTGTACGTGTATGTTTGGGGGTCTGAAATTGACTAATCTAATTCACAATATTCCTTATGGGAACAAATTCGTTCAGTACTGGCACCTGAACATACTTCTGGAATGAAATAATATCGTAAACCGGGGGTCCACTGTAATTTGTGTCCCTACAGATGGGGCACTCTACATATAACCTACAGTATTTTGCTGAAAGGAGAAAGTGGCAGTTATAATATTGGTGAGAAGTTGGAAAAAGTTCTTTTATGGTTAACCCGTAAATGGTCCAAATGTATATATACGTTTTTTCAACATTAGAAAGCATGTAAAAAAAGTAGATCTTCTTTTTGTTTTTCTACATTTGAAAATGTGTAAAAAAACTTTGATCTACTTTTTTTTTTGTTATATTTGAAAATATGTAAAAAAAACTTAGATTTACGTTTGTAGCACTACACATGTGAAAGTAGATCTGCTTGGACCGTTTACGGGTTAAACAACGACTGAAGTTTTAAGATTTTCGGCTGGCAGTGAACAGTACAGGACAATTTCATTCTGATAATGACTGCTACTGAATAACTGAAAGGAAGGATGACAGTCCTGCTATTCTAACTAGGATGGGAAAGCTGGCAAACTGTGGAGTATTACTGAGTTTGAAGCTTTAACAGTTTGTTAGTTTATAAAATATCATTTACACAAACATGCATCTTTGGATTAACTCAAGTCAAGCATTATTAGCCAATTTTATGATCATCCAAACTACTTTCAGCAGCCAGCACTGGGCTGGAGTATTAAGAACTTTACCCACTTTTGAAGGCTGAAAACAGCAAGTAAAGATATGGGGATCCACTGATAGGATCTTAATTATAACATGAAAATGTCAAATATATTGTTGAAAGGTTTAGATAGATGTCACAAGAAATTATATTTTCTTCTATCCTTCCAACCACTTAGAAGCCAACAAGGCAGAGATCAGCCTTAGGGGTAATGAATAAATAAAATGAACTCTGAGAGGGTCTTAAAGCAACCACAGGACCAAAAAGCTGTGTTCCTTATTAAGCCTGACTGACCCATTAAGTGATTCAACAATTTATCTTGAAGGATACACAAATGACCCACACACAGGAGAATGAAACTTATGCTGATGCTTTGGTCCAACTTGGACCAGTAACAAGTCACACAAGTCCAACCAAAGAGTTGTCATAAGTTTCATTCTCCTATGTGCAGGTTTTGTGTATTGTTCCAGTCATGGTATTGTGCCTTTTTATTCAACTTGAAGGATCTCTATGCCCAGATAAATGAAGGGTTGCATGCAAATAAAACACAATAGAACAGCTCTTGGTCCTCTTTGCAGTTATGGCTCTATTGACATCGGAAAACCCAGCCAAAGCAACCCATGACATCTAAAAAAGGATCAAACTGTCCCAAAAGAAAAAAAAATGGTGGCTATCCCATGAGAAAAAGGTTAATGAAACTTTTTAATGTATCTTACCTTAAGATCTGGTGAAGACATATTCTTATAATCTGGCAATGGTGTAACATTTTTTCTCCTTGAATTCTTTTTCAGTTGAGGTGTCATTAGATCACAACAGGGAACATGAAAATCTCTAGAATCAAGCCTTTTTGGGGATTGTTTGCAACCTTCTGCCTCTTCAAATTCTTGCCATACTTCCTCACAATCTAGATGTTCTGTTATCTTAATCATAGTTTCATCACCAAGAAAAGAACCTGTTGCTAATAAATTTTGTTCCTTATCTTTTGCAAAAGCTTTTTCTGATTCTGTATCTTTACCTTTTATGTTGGATACAGAAGAGTCAGTCTCATCTAAATATAACCTTCGTGAGTCTTCTTGAACAGCCGATTGATATAATGCTGCAGAACTTGGTTTATACTGGAAGCCTATCTTTTCACAAATATTAGTTTTGGGACTAATAGCAGAACTTGCATCTTTCCTTACATGAGGAAAAGGTCTCAAAATAGGTGAAATATCATCAGTTGTCTTAGAATTAGCATCAGACTGAAGCCCACATTTTGCAGGAGTTGCATATGCATTTATAGGAACTGACATATCATTTTCTACATCATCAAAATCATCCCAAACATTACTATTATACGGCTTATTTACACTCTCTTGTTCGCCATCTGGGACATTTTCATACAAACTTTTACGTGACTCAAGAAAATCTTCTGTAATCAGATCTTGTTGGGAAATCTCATCAGTTCTGGGACTACTTATATCAGACCACAGTTTTAAAGGTTCCATTTCTTCCCCTTCTGAATGAAAATCGAAAGTGTTAATTTGATCCTTAATTAGAGCATCATGTGGGGAGCTTGCAGAAGAGTTTTCAGAATTACTACTGAGTGTTAGATCAATTATGTTGCCTCCTGCTTCAGGACAGTTGGATAATTTACTTTGAACACCTAATTTTAACAGGGAAGATCCTTCCCCATGGTCAGCATTATCTTTTCTTGGTGATGTACCACCAGTTTGACCACCCATGCTCTTATTTTGTATTTGTTTGATTTCTTTTGCCTGATTTACTTTGCCTGAATTCTCTGTTGAAATTTTTTTGGAGACAACATCAGGCTCCAAATGCACTGTGCGTGCGCTTTCCTCTCTTGGTGATTTCATGTTATTTAGCAATGTTAGAGGGGATTTAGATGAAGTAGAAACAAAACTTGCATCTTTAACAGGAAGTGATACATCAAATAAGTCAGGAGACTGACAGTTAATAATCTGCAATCCTTCTGACAATGAATTATCATCAGCTGTAATATTCAGTTCATTACTGCCTGTTAATGATATCCTTCTAGAACTTTTAGGCAGATTAATGCTTTTGTCAAAAGGAGACAATTTAAGACAACGCTTCACTGATCTACCACTGTCTTCATTAATATTTTCCATGTTTGATGTTTTTTTTATTACAAGAATATCAGCATTTGAATTTGATGTAGTGTTAAGAGGTTTATCACTCCTAGATCCTGTTTCTATTGAAGATTCAACATCTGTAGCAGTTGCAACATCAAAGATGGATTTGAGATATGATACAAGTTCTAGACATTCATACTCAAGAGCTAAATCAAAAACTTCCATCCACAATGGATCACCTCTCACCTTTATGCTACAGGTACCAGTATAGAGATATACTAAAAAAGTTGTTGCAGCTTCAAATGATACTTTGTCCCATTTTACTCTCATCTCTGCTGCCTTTGCTTCTTTATATAGTTGTGGGCACCTAGCAAGGAACACCAGAGAATGGGCTGAAATAATGCTACCATCTTGTGTTATTACAGTTACATCACTTGCATCTTCATTTGAAAATAAGATGCTCCAGTCATAAATAAATTTCTTTTGCATGGACCTAAATTCTTCACTTTTAACTTGTTCTTCCAGTGGTGATCCTACATGTTCTAGGTCATTACTGCTAATCCTTATTTGATTAGGCAGAGGTGCTGTAGGTGCCTCACAATTGCCATTTTCTTCTTTATTCATCAAGTGATCATTAATCTTTTCCCTGGATATTGGAAGTAATGTCTTCATTGATGATAATTCTTCCTTAGGATTATCAGCAAAAGTAGTTTCATCATTTAATTTTGTGCAATTGTTGTTAGACAAAACTTCATCAAAAAAGATCTGAGTTTTATCTGAATCATTTGAATACTCAGAGGTACAACTGTTTTCATCTACAGAGCTTGAGACCTTATTGGTCATTTCCTGTTGTGAAGTAGATGAGCTATACAGCTTTCCAGAATGCCTTTGTCTGTCTGTGCTGCTGCTACTACTACTACACCCAGAGGGACATTCTGCATCAGTAATACGATTTACTAACAGAGGAAGTAAGGTGTGACCTGAATTAATATTTGAAATGGGTATTACTTCACAATCTAAATTATCATTTTCTTTACATTTATTGTCAAGAAGATTACTCTTCAATGGCTCAGCATTTTTATGAAATACCTGATCACCCTCATAATTATCTTCTGGGCAATCAGTGACTAAAGCTACATTATCACCAACACTCTCCTCTTGATCACTAATGCTGACAATATTAAGTTCATCACTTGTCATATTACTTTTATCTAACTTAAATATTTCTGAAGCACTTCCTAAAGCACTATTATTTTCAAGAACCATACTTAAATCACTTTGTACAACTATGCATTGTTGCTTAGTAACTTTAACTGGCAAGATGTTGCACAGATTATCACTGTGAGATTTACTATTATTTTCACTACTGCTATCGCATATGCCAACTGGATTTTCCTTTTCTCTGCCTAATACCACACTTCCAACAATTTCACTTTCATCTTTACTATAATTTTTATCTGTATTATCACCAGACTTTAATGGAATTTCAAGATTTGCTGCACACACTGTTGTGTGAACAACCCAAAAGCCACTGCCAGGCTCTAGTATCACATCTGGGTTTGGCAAAGTATCCATATCTTGTGGAATTGATTCATCTTCCTCTAGAGAGTTACAAGCTCGAGTAAGTTCAAGACAATTTTGAGAACCCAAGAGTTCAGCCAGGGCCAACTGTGTGCAATACCCATTAACCACAGATGTCTCCTCACTTTCTGATCCCGAGTCAGAATTCTGATAAAGAAAAAACTAATTAATGTACTGCAATAAAAGTTAAAGCGCTATCATAAAATAAAATTAAAATTAATATACAGTAGTCCCCTGTATCCACAGGGGATACATTCCAAGACCTACCTACCCGAAACTGTGGATAGTAGCGAACGCTATATATAAGTTGTTTTTTCATTTACATACATACCTATGATAAAGTTTAATTGATAAATTACACACAATAAGCCAAGAATTAGCACTTTTTCACTGATTGGAAGTGATTCACAGCTTCTCTTAGGCTTTGAAGAACTGCCACCATCAATATTTGTGTGTCTGTGGCCATTATTAAGCAAAATTAAAAATTAGTTTTGGATCAGTAACTGAAACTGAATCTGCGGACACGAGGGTCCTATGTATAGCAACTGGTAATTCTGCCCAGTAAATGGTTTGAACTTTGGCTATTATCATGAACATCCTGAAAAGGATGGACATAAAAATGAACTACCAGAGTGTAAGCAAAATCCTCTACAAAGAAAATTTAACTAACACATGGCTGCAAAACTTACAATTAAAATAGAAAATAATACTATGATATATGCTAGCACTGTGCTGTACAGTACTATATGTACCATTTACAGTGCTATATGCATCATTTACCAGAACTAACTTATATAGTTAAAAATTATCAAGAATTTTTTTTTTTTTTATCAAGGTGACTTAGTATGGTTGTTTTATAAGTGACTTCAAATTCCAAGTAATTAAATGTGATAACCAAACATTTTCTGTCACAGTGCTTGCTATTAATGGGAACTGACTAACCCATTACATACAACTGTTTAATATCTCTATCTTTAATCTCAACACCATGTACCTTACCTCATCACTCATAGATTGTATAGCTGTCAGATTTAAGCGCCCGGGGATTTCTGATAGTCTTCTTAAAAGTCCCCCTACAGCAGTGTTCACTGGTTTAATATATGGCTCAAGCTCAGAAACATAAAACTCTTCAAGAGGAAGATCTGTAGAACTATGAGAAGCCTCCCACAGCCTGCAAGCCTGTTGATTAAGAAGAGTTCATGGAATTAGTGGTGAAATTTTTTCTTCTTTCACGTCACCCTACCTCGGTGAGAGAAGGCCAGTGTGTTAAAAAATTAAGTTAAGTAGCAACAAACTGAGGTTATCAGTTCATTATTTTGTTTTACACATAAACCAATGCAAATTAAAATTATTTATTGAAAAATACCAAAATGCTGAAATTTATAATTTATAAAATAAATGTTTAGTACATACAAGGTATTTAGTTCTATATCAGTGGTATTCAATACCAACAAGATGAAGGTAATCAGTCCTTCAATCTAGTGATGAGGATGGTAGTTAGATGAATCTCAGATTCTAATACACTTCAGTGCTCATCACCTATTCCTAGGCTGGGGTACTGATTACCTCATCTTCCACTGACTGCTGTATATATTTCTACAGTTTTCAAGGTTTTCCAGGGTTCCTTTATTTTGCAAGATGACCTTTGGTCTATAAAACATTCAGAACAAATCCTATAAATATGAAATTGAATATTTTTATTATTTTTTTTATATAATACACCGCCGTCTCCCATCGGGGCAGGGTGACCTGAAAAAGCATGGCTTATGGAAGGATTCTTTTTCACTTCCCCATGGAGATTTTATTTTATATTATATATTAATAATTACATATAATTAGCATCTAATATAGTACATTTACCTCATTCTTGAACTTTGAAAGACGGCCTTTCGCTCCAGAATTCCTTGTTTGTTTCCAGTTGACCCTTGGCATATCCTCATTAGTTAATATGGCTGCAACTTTTTCACTAACAATTCTCTCCCTTTCCTCAACAGAACGTGTAGATAAGGGCATTTTGCTAAAATTAACATGGCGCCTTCGTCTTTTATTTCCTGTCTGAGATGAGGCTGCTCTTTCATTATCTGGTGACAAAGTGGATATATGATACAAGGCATTACATTGTACAGTGGAACCTCGGCTCACGAGTGCCCCACCATACGAGTTTTTCAGGATACGAACAGTCACTCGGTCGATTTTTTGTTTCTGGATACGAGCAAAAATTCAGGATGGGAGGTTCCTTGATGCTGGTGAGGGGCTCTTGATCTAGGGAATTGGATTTGTGCTTCAGTTCCCTAAATTAATAATAATAATAAATGAATTTCAGAACATCGCCACTAGGTGGCACAGCCAATGCCACATCAGCTGAGCTGTGCAATGTGTTTTTGTCACCGTGGAAGGATTTCTCATATTACTGTCAAATTTCTTTTTTCTAACCATTGGTCCTAAGAAAGTAAGTGCAAAGGACAGTGCTGAGAAGAAAGAGAGGATGATATCCATGGAATTACAGCATGAAATCATAGATAAACAAGTGAGGTGTGTAGTGGCAGTAGGACCTAGTAGCAAGGAGCCTATCTTCCACCCTCCACCTCTGCCAGCATATGTATACTTTATAAAACCACTTTATTTCTTTACGTTCTCTATTATGTTTTTATACAATATTTCTTATTTATGAAACTAGTGCAGTTAGCCTCACAAACACTCCGTTTTCTCTTATAATAAAAGCTTGGGCAGATATAGTCAGCGGGAGAGGGAATGAATGCCGCCGCCACCACTTGCCATATTATGGCCTATTTTATTCATTCTAGAGTATATGTTTCTATTAGATGAATTGTGATAGATAAATAAGCCGTAGAGTTGATATTAGCGTCATATTGAAGTACAGTATTTTTGTCCTGCCTCCCAGAGCAGGAATTCTGCTGAAACAGATTAATGGCATTTCAATTAATTTAAATGAGAAAAATTGACTCGGCATACAAGCAGATTGGGATATGAGCAAGGTCACGGAACGGATTAAACTCGTAAGCCAAGGTTCTACTGTATATGTTGCAAGTACTAAAACCTTCTAATGAAGTACTTTAGGTATAAATATCTAAAATTAATATAAAAAAGATTAGCATGCAGTACAACACAACATTATGAAGAATAAAGAACTACAGTGGACCCTCGAGTTTTGGCAGCATTGACTCATGAAATTCGACCTTCGGCAAGTTTTTTTTGGCAAAATTTGGTCTCGAGTTTCGGCGACCATCCGGTACCCGTCCGCCTGTCACCGCGCACACCAAGCCAGTCTCCCACGCCATTCACGCTCAGTGTGCCATTGTTTACCAACACGTGACCATCACCCTGTGGGTTCATACAATACATTTCATAATTGTTTTTTGTGCTTGCAACTACTAAATAAGTCATCATGGACCCAAGGAAAGCTAGTGCAAGCCCTTTGGTAAATAAAGTGAGGAACATGATCCAGAGGGATTTTGAAGGGTTTGAGGCAGACCTTGTCCCTGCTGACCCTCTGCCTGTTATGGAAGGTGTTGTGGCATTGGGCAAGTCCATGGGGTTGGAGGTGAGTGACAGGGATGTGGAAGAGTTGGTGGAGGACCACGGAAGAGCTAACCACTGACGAACTGCAAGAGCTTCAACTGGAACAGCATCAGGCCACAGCCGAGGAACTTGCTTCAGAGGAGGAGGAAAAGAGAGTGAAGGAGGTTCCTTCTTCAGTGATTAAGGACATGCGTGGAATGAGTTGCAAAGCTTTGTTGAAAAGTATCACCTTGACCAAGCTGAAACAAGCCATATCTGCAACATGTACAATGACAGTGTTGTGTCCTACTTCAGGGAAATCTTAAAGAAACGCCAGAAAAAGACCACTCTGGACAGATATTTTGTGCGACAGGGGTCCAGTGACTCTCAAGTTGTTCCCGGTGGCATTAAAAGAAGAAGGGAAGTAACCCCAGATAAGGACTTGCTACCTAAAGTCCTAATGGAAGGAGATTCTCCTTCCAAACAATAGTGTACACCTTCCTCCTATCCCCTCTTCCCATTTTCCATCCACCCAGAAGTCTTCAGCAAAGGTAAGTGTAATATTATTATTTTTTATATGCATGTACTTGATTTCTCATTGATTTCAGTATATAAATCTTTATTTAATTTGAAAAAAAGTATTTTATTTTAATATTTTTGGGTGTCTGGAACGGATTAATTTTATTTCCTTTATTTCTTATGGGGAAAATGGTTTAGAGTTTCGTGAATTTCAACTTTCGGCAGGTTCTCTGGAACGGATTAATCACGAAACACGGGGGGTCCACTATACTTTATTTGTAGGGTTTGATAAACAACTAGGTATACAACCTCTTAAATGATTATATGCCTAAGCATGTTCAATATGAGACTGATTGTTCCAGTTCTAAGATCTGATTCAAGTAACATAAGCTACCACAGGTGACTTGGGAGGTGGGGGTCTTTGTGGTTTACTGAACCTTACACAGAAAATAGTATAGCCTCTCCTCACTTAGCGACGTACTTGTTTACCGACGACTTGGACTTACAATGGGCTCTCTGACCAGTATGCATACCTAAATAATGTAAATTAGAGCTTATTTCCTCTATTCTGTTTTATTACAATATACAGTACACTACTGTATAAACATTAAAAAATAACAGAAATATTATAAATGGTGCAAAGGTGACTTTAAAACAATATCAAAGATGGTTGACATAAACCCACTAACATTACAGTATGCTCCACACTTAGCAACAAATTTGTTTACTGACTTGGTCTTAGAAACGGAACTCTGTCATTAAGTGAGGAGAGGCTGTATCCAACTCTTTCAAGATACTGTATTTTGTGCACAGGGTTTGATGAACCACTAGTAATTCTATTAACAGTAAGTACCCAAGGTAGTTGAGAAATCTGAAGATTGCCATTATGTGGAAAAATGGCATAATGAATATAGAATACTACCTTAGAATACTGCCTTAACTGAGACGTGGTTTAATTCAAAAAGTCGGGACATACCTGCGGAATGTCATATTCAGGGTTTTAAATTGTTCCAAGTAGATAGAAGTATCGGGAAGGGGGGTGGGGTGGCATTGTACGTCCGAGATCGCTTGAACTGTTGCATAAAAACGGGTATTAAGTCTGAAGTAACGCATACAGAGTCTGTTCGGATAGAATTTTCAGAGGGGCATGAAAAACTGATTTTAGGAGTGATATACCGTCCACCAAACTTAGATAGGGACCAAGGGAGACTACTATGGGAGGAAATTTATTGATTGGAATTTCTTGACTGGGAATTTAGAATCATACGACTTCTTAGAAGTAGTTCAGGATTGTTTTTTGAAGCAGTTTGTGACAGAACCTACAAGGGGAAATAACCTGCTTGACTTAGTTATGGCAAACACTGAATCCCTTGTTAATAATTTAGAAATTTCAGAGGAACTGGGTGCTAGCGACCACAAATCAATTACATTTAGCATTGAATGGAAGTACAATAGTAGCGATAACTCAGTAACAGTCCCAGATTTTCGCTTAGCAGATTACGATGGGCTTAGAGAACACTTATCATCTGTTGACTGGGGTAACGAAGTGAGCTATCAATATGAGTTTTCTGAACACTATACATGCTGCTCAAAGAACGTTTATCCCATATAAAGAAATTAGATAAAATAGAAATGACCCAAAATGGATGAATAATAGGCTCAAATATCTACTAGGGCATAAGAAAGGAATTTATAGGCGTATCAAAAGAGGTGAGGGTCATGTTATGAATCAGTATATTGACATTAAGCGGGACATTAAAAAGGGGATAAGAAAAGCTAAAAGGGACTATGAAATTAAAGTTGCTAGGGATACTAAAACTAACCCAAAAAGTTTTTTCCAGGTCTATAGAACAAAAGTTAGAGATAAGATAGGTCCCCTTAAAAATAACTATGGGCACCTTACTGACAAAGAGAATAAAATGTGCTCGATTTTTAATAATTATTTTCTCTCAGTTTTTACACAGGAAGACACTAACAGTATTCCAGTAATTAATTTTTATAGTGGGCTAGAAGAAGATAAATTATGTAACATCACAGTCACTAGTGAAATGGTTGTGAAGCAGATAGACAGACTGAAAAAATAAGTCGCCGGGTCCTGATGAGGTTTTTTCAAGGGTTCTTAAGGAATGCAAAATGGAACTCTGTGAACCATTAACTAATATTTTTAATTTATCTCTTCAAACAGGTGTAGTGTCTGATATGTGGAAGATGGCTAATGTAATTCCTATTTTTAAAACAGGGGATAAGTCGTTACCGTCAAATTACCGCCCAATAAGCCTGACCTCAATTGTAGGCAAATTACTAGAGTCAATTATAGCTGAGATTATAAGAAGCCATCTCAATAAGCATAGCTTGATTAATGATACTCAGCATGGATTCACAAGAGGCCGGTCTTGTCTAACTAATTTATTAACTTTCTTCAGTAAAGCTTTTGAGGCTGTTGACCACGATAAAGAATTTGATATTATTTACTTAGATTTTAGTAAGGCTTTTGATAGAGTTCCGCACCATAGACTGTTAAAGAAAGTGGCAGCTCATGGCATTGGGGGAAAAGTGCTCTCGTGGATCGAGTCATGGCTCACTGACAGGAAGCAGAGTGTGTCCATAAATGGGGTTAAATCCGAGTGGGGATCTGTAACAAGTGGCGTTCCACAGGGATCAGTCTTGGGCCCGTTGTTGTTTATAATATATATCAATGATCTTGATGAGGGAATTACTAGTGATATGAGCAAATTCGCCGATGACACAAAGATAGGTAGGATAATTGATTCAAACGTAGATGTTATGGAACTTCAGGAGGATTTAAGCAAACTCTATTCTTGGTCAGAAAAGTGGCAGATGCAGTTCAATGTAGATAAATGCAAGGTTCTGAAGCTTGGGAGTGCCCATACCCTAGTACTTATAAGTTAAATGATGTAGAACTTAGCCATACAGATTGCGAAAAGGACTTGGGGGTTATGGTGAGCAGGAACCTTAAACCAAGACAGCAATGCCTAAGCGTACGTAATAAGGCAAATAGATTACTGGGATTTATATCAAGAAGTGTAAGCAACAGAAGTCCAGAGGTCATACTGCAGCTTTATACATCATTAGTAAGGCCTCACCTAGATTATGCAGCTCAGTTCTGGTCTCCATATTACAGAATGGACATAAATTCATTAGAAAACATTCAGCGTAGGATGACTAAATTAATACATAGCATTAGAAATCTTCCTTATGAAGAAAGATTGAAGACTCTTAAGTTACATTCACTTGTTAGACGAAGAATGAGGGGAGACCTGATCGAAGTGTATAAGTGGAAGATAGGTATTAATAAAGGGGATATTAATAAGGTCTTGAGGATGTCTCTCCAAGAGAGAACCCGCAGTAATGGATTTAAATTAGGTAAGTTTAGATTTAGAAAGGACATAGGAAAGTATTGGTTTGGAAATAGGGTAGTAGATGAGTGGAACAGTCTACCTAGTTGGGTTATTGAGGCTGGGACTTTGGGTAGTTTCAAATTTAGGTTGGATAAGTACATGAGTGGGAGGGGTTGGATTTGAGCGGGACTTTCACATCAGAGCTTATTTCTTGGGTGGCATTGAAAATTGGGTTGGGCAAATGTTTTGTTAGTGGGATGAATTGTAAGGACCTGCCTAGTATGGGCCAACAGGCCTTCTGCAGTGTTCCTCCTTTCTTATGTTCTTAAAAGTATTTATTCATACCTATTACAGGATGGGGAAATATAACAGGCTGAACTTGTCTGTCTTCATCCACAATCTGGTCTAGACCCAGAGCCAACAACTTCTCTTCCCTGGAAGCTCGTGCTACAGCTTCTTCTTCAGCAACTGAACGTGAAAGAGCCAAGGCCATTGCTAAATCAGGGTCTTTTCTGGCTCCTTTTATATATTGTTTAGCACTTTTTTTTACCTGGAAACAAAAAAAAAAAAAAGCCATGATGTGCCTTGTAAACATATTTTCTCATACTGCTTTTCAATGCTTCTGAGTTAAATAGTTCAAAAGTCTGATGGAAGATATGTGCAGTATAATCTCCTCACACATCAATTTGTATGGAATAATCAAACAAAAATATCCATAAAAATAATGAACACTGGGACTATCTACATTATATAACTCTTCTACTCTTCCCACCTCTTCACCATACTTTTTTTCTTTTAACATACTGGCCGTCTCCCACCGAGGCAGGGTAACAAAAAAAAAAAAAAAAAAAAGCCATCATTCACACTATCACTGTCTTGCCAGAGGAGTGCATACATGCAGCAACACTGACATATAACAAAATGCCACTCAAGGCTTTGCTAAAACACCGTTCTACTCGTGTATTTATTTCCCAAAAGTTATTCTCATTTAGCTTAGAATAAAAAACAAGACACACAAAAGTAGGTACAGTGCATACTGGATAACTAATTCTTATATTTTTTTTTGCAGCAACACAATGCACAAGTATTATATTCTTTCACCAAAGATGAATAATTAACCCCTTGACTGTCGCAACCCCAAATCCTGAGGTGTCTCCTGGTGTCGCAAAAAAAAAAAAAAAAAAAAAAAAAAATTCCTATGAAATGATAGAGAATATTTTCCTGGTGGTAATGACACCAAAAGAATTAAATTTGATGGAAAACTGACGGAATTACGCTCTCGCGAAGTTAGCGACCTCGGCGATATTTACGAATCAGGGATTTTGCCCACTTTGAGCCCTATTTTCGGCTAATTCCGTTGTTTCAGTCGACCAAACTTATAGCTATTTCTTTAGAACTCCATTTTTTCTATCGACTGAGTACAGGAAACTGCCCATTTACTGATTTCAACTACCCAATAACATGCTCAGAAATTTGCAATTTGGCCAATTTAACGAAAATTAAAAAATATGACAATTTCAAAATGGGTCCAGAATGAACAATGCAGACATTCCTGGCTCTAAAATAACATTTTGTTTGTTCATCAGTCACGTCTCCAGCCCCTCTGATATTACTCTTGCTTTCTATTTTGAATTTTTATTCAAACAAAAAAATAGAAGATTTACTATTATGCAGATTACTGCATTATTATAATAACTGTATAAATAATGTCAACCCATTCATGACTGCATATTAGAATGGCTACATGGACATTTATTGGACAATGACATAGTTTGTTTACTTTTGAACATCTGCAAAAATTAAACATTTCCCCTACTTTGAGCTCCATTTCCAGGTTCTTTTTATAGTAAAACCAATGAAAATCACTTCTATTTTTATAATATGTTTTCCATTCTATCAAATGAGACCAAGAAAACGAGAATACAACCATAAATACTATACGAAAATAGACCACAAAGTCGGCATTTTAATTAAAAAAAAACGGTCGGAGTTTTCTTTTCTCATTATGCACTGCGTGCTGCAGGAATCTTTTTTATATGGTGCACACTGACCACACAGATCCATTCTCTCACATGTGGGCCTACCAGCTTTCTCCTGCTTGATTTGAAGCCACTAGAATTTATGAGCATATATACGTCAAAAACTGTGGCTCGTAAGACATATATACGACCAAAACAGTCAAAGGGTTAAAAGAAAAAAACAGTTTTTTAAATTTAGTATGGTATACAGAAGGGGTTACTAGCTCCTTGCTCCCAGCATTTTAGTAGCCTCTTATGACATGCATGGCTTACTAAGGAAGAATTCTGTTCCTCTTCCCTGTGGAGGTAAGAGGAAATAAACAAGAGCAAGAACTAGTAAAAAAATAGAAGAAAACCCAGAGAGACGTGTATATATATGCTTGTAAATGCATGTACAGTGTGACCTAAGTGTAAGTAGAAGTAGCAAGATGTACTTGAAACCATGCATGTTTATGAGACAGACAAAAGACACCAGCAATCCTGCCATCATGTAAAACAACTACAGGTTTCCATTTCACGCTCACTTGGCAGGACAGTAGTATCTCCCTTGTCGGTTGCTGTCTACCAACCTACTAACTAGGAAAGATGAATATATTTGGCACAAATTTTTCATTAAAATTTTACCTACCTTGATGGTTACATTTAAAAAAATCATAATGTTAGAATGCAATGTTGCTGCTGTATTGTTACAATGCAAAACTAGGCACTTTTAACATTTTCACTGTGATGATGTATAAACTTAAAGATTAAAGTAGTTAGTTGACTCCTTGATGGCATTTTTGCCTGTCAAGGCATTAATCTGATATAGCCTTTACAGTGATATAATTTAAAACTAAGTCAGCTCCCTATTTGGTATTTCTATATCTAGAGGTCTCTCAACACTTGTTCTATTCAACCAAATGGAAGTATCCTCCCTTCCCCCCAACTCAAGACTGAATTACTGAGGCTAGTATAACCTTACCCATCTTTATATCAGAAGAGCTGGATATGAACCAGTTAGATTTTTTTTTATATTAACCCTTTCAGGGTCCAAGGCCCAAATCTGGAGTCACGCACCAGTGTCCAAGAATTTAAAAAAAAAAAATTTGTTATTTTTTCTTATGAAATCGTAGAGAATCTTTTTGTGAAGGTAATAAAACAAAAAGTACGAAATTTGGTGGAAAATTGACGAAATTATGCTCTCGCGAATTTTGATGTGTCAGCGATATTTACGAATCGGCAATTTTGCCGACTTTGACTTCCATTTTAGGCCAATTACATTATTCCAATCAACCAAATTCTTAGCTATTTCACTAGTATTACTTCTATTCTATCGATTGAGCACAAGAAATCGCCAAGTCAACTGTTTCAACTACAAAATAAAGTGATCGGAAATTGTTAATTTGGCCAATTTAACACAAAGTTCAAAATATTCCAATTTCAAAATAGGGTCCAGAATGAACAATGTAGGCATTCCTGGCACTAAACTAACATTTCCTCTGTTCATTAGTTATGTTTTGAGGCTTTACAAATAAATTCCATTTTGATTTTTTATTCACATAATGAATTTTTATTCACACCAAAAAATAGAAGATTTACTGTTATGCAATACTGTAATAATTGTATAAATATCATCACCATATTTGTGAATGTATATTAGACCCACCAGCTGACATGTATTAGACGTGTGAGGTCGTTTGTTTACTCTTGAATATCGGCAAAAATTTAACATTTCCGCTACTTTGAGCTCAGTTTCAAGCCATTTCCAATGCTAAAACCAATCAAAATCATCTCTATTTCTGTAATATGTCTTCCATTCTATCAACTGAGACCAAGAAATCGCAAATACAACTATAAAAAACATACGAAAAAACACTGCAAAGTTGCTGTTTTAATCGAAAAATCATGATTTCATTTTTTTTCTCTCATTATACACAGTGTGCTGCAGGATCTGTTTTATGTGGTGCACACATACCACATAGATGTATTCTCTCATATCTAGGCCCAAATGTACCACTCACAGTTTATCAGAGTGAGCTGAGCTCATGGCGTAGATCTACGGTTTGGACCCTGAACGTAAAGCCGTAGATCTACGGGACGGACCCTGAAAGGGTTAAGGAAACCATAAGTTATTGCTACATCACCCTTAATTTCTCCAGCTTATAACTGTAACAAAGAGCAAATCTGGCATACTTTTTTTTAACTTCTTACATTACCATATGTAAGAAGTTAATTTGTACCAGTTAGCTAAACTTGAGTCCTGGAGGTGAGAAGTACAGTGCCTACACTCTGAAGGAGAGGCGGTGATATTGAAGTTTGGAGGGGCATTTGAACTGCAGTATTGGTATATCTCTGGTAAGACAGTGATGGAGTGAGTGAAGGTCAAAGTCTTTCATCATTTTCAGGTCACTTACCTCAGTGGCAGACAGCCAGTGTTAAAATAAAAAATTACCATATGTCTAGGAATTTTGTTTGACCATAACCAGGTACCACCTTTGCCCCCCTACTACAATCACCTCTTCTCCACCAACCATTTTTTTCCCTATGCATAATTATATTTTTCACTTGTTCACAACCCTGTGTAATACAATAGGCCAAACTAAGACATGGCCATGTTTGTGTACATAATTACCTATTTGTAATTATTGTACTTATCTATAGCCAAGGAGCAGCTTTGTACAAAATAAAGGACAATCTCTCTCTTTAAAAACAAGTATTTTTCCTATCATTTATCATACAGATATATTTTACTCTTCATTGTATTAACCTTAGTACAGTACTTTACAAACTACTTGTTATCCTTAAATGTACTGATAAGAGTGTTACAATCAGAACTAAGCACTAAACCCACAAGGGTCCAACATGAAAGAGTTACACTCTTGTCAAAGACAGGATCTGCCAGTCGAAATGTTAATTTTTTTTTTTCCAGTGAACCAGCCATATCCCACTGAGGCAGGGTGACTAAGTTTTTTTTTTTTTAATTTAGTAATTTATACAGAAGGGGTTACTAGCCCCTTGCTCCTGGCATTTTAGTCACCTCTTATGACATGCATAGTTTATAGAGGAAGCATTCTTTTCCACTTCCCCATGGAGAAGCAATGTTAATATTTTTGTTTAATTACAGCCTCTCGTCACTTAGCGGCGTACTTGTTTACCGATGACTCAGACTTACGGCAGGGTCTCTGACCAGTATGAATACCTAAATAATGTACACATGTATTAGAGCTGATTTCCACTATACACTGCTGTATAAACATTTAAAAGAATACCAGAAATGTTATAAATGGTGCAAAAGCAACATTAAAAATATATCAAAGATGGCAAAGACAAACCCACCACCATTATAGTATGCTCCTCACTTAGTGACAAATTCATTTACCGACATGGTCTTAGGAATGGAACTTTCGTTACGTGAGGAGAGGCTGTAATGAAAATTACAACAATGCTCCTTACCTTATCTTCATATTTATGACTATCACTGTCCTTTTGTACTAGAAAAGGCAAACCTAACTTGCGTCTTTCTTCAGCTTGCTTTTCAAGCAATCTTGATGCTAGTAATAGCTGTTCTGAACTTAGACCATGAGCTCGAGCACAGATTTTCATGTGAGAATGACACTGGATCTTAGATTTCTGAGACTGAAAGAGATGGGTGTAGAACATTAAAAATTTTATCATGTCATGTAGACAAGTAATCATGTTAGGACAATTTACATTTATACCTTAACAAGGCTGGATCAGTTTATGGCAGCTTTGCAAATTTTCTTTTTTAAACTTTAGATTTCGTATTAGGTCCACAGAACCTAAGTATTGTTCACCCAAGAAAAAAATGAAAGAAAAAAATGAAGGCGGGGTAGGGGTCGGCCTAGGAAAGGTTGGAGGGAGGGGGTAAAGGAGGTTTTGTGTACGAGGGGCTTGGACTTCCAGCAGGCATGTGTGAGCGTGTTTGATAGGAGTGAATGGAGACAAATGGTTTTTAATACTTGACGTGCTGTTGGAGTGTGAGCAAAGTAACATTTATGAAGGAGTTGAGGGAAACCGGCAGGCCGGACTTGAGTCCTGGAGATGGGAAGTACAGTGCCTGCACTCTGAAGGAGGGGTGTTAATGTTGCAGTTTAAAAACTGTAGTGTAAAGCACCCTTCTGGCAAGACAGTGATGGAGTGAATGATGGTGAAAGTTTTTCTTTTTCGGGCCACCCTGCCTTGGTGGGAATCGGCCAGTGTGATAATAAAAAAAAAATAAATAAAAAAAAAATATAAAAAAAATTAGAAGATATGAATAGTTTTTTATGGCAAGAGCAGATTGGGAGAGTACAGGGATGAAAGGAAATAGAGAAGAGATAGATGAGAAAAGAGAGAGACTGGTGAGGTGGGAAAGTGTGTACTAAGCAAAAAGGAAATGAACATTCTGAAAATACCCATGAATAATCAAAATGAACTGCAAAATGACCTTCAGTAAAAACATGAGTACAATACAGTAGGATCCCCGTATCCGTTGGGGATAAGTTCCAAGGGCCTGCTGCAGATACCGAAACTGCGCATAGTAGCAAACCCTATATATAAGTCCTATACATACCTATTATAAAGTTTAACTGATAAGTTATGCATATTAAGTGGAGAATTATCATTTTTCACTGAGAGGAAGCATGTCATGGCTTCACTTGGGTTTTGAAGAACTACCACCTTCTCTCCTTTTGTGCTTTGGGGTCATTATCATGTAAAATTAAAAGGTATTTTTAGGCCACAGTAAACCATGGATAACAAACCGCAGACACCGAATCAGTGGATACAGGGGTTCTACTGTATAATCAAATCATGAGTATTATGAAGCAAGCAAATTCCAGGGTTCAGTTTTTAACATTATATGTAGTATTCATGGAAAGTGCTAAGCTGGCACTGTAACAAAGCTGACCACAGCAGCGAGGGAGCTCCATGGCATAGGTTGAATGGAGTGCCCAAGGCATAGCGTTAAAACAAAAAACTGAAAAAGAAATCCTAGATTTGGCAAAAACAAAGCTACAGATTAGTCTCTAAAAAAAGTCAGATCTTTTTTGATGTTATCAAATGTGCGTTATTGCACTACATATCAATAATGAATGACTCGTATAAGCTTAGCACATGTTTTTAATACAATAATACTAATGACAAAAAAAATATTGTTTGAAATAAAAACATTTGTAAGCAAATCATAGTTGCACTTTCTTAATATTTTCCCCTACCTTCAATGTATAAAATAACTGCACTCAGCATTTTTTTTTGGTGTACTTTTCTCACTCCATGAGTAATATAATGTATTTAGCAAACAATTATAGCAGATTCTGCAGATAAACTTGAAAATGTATAATGGGACTATGACCACAGTGTAACCATGAAAATGGCACATTTAACATAATGGCCAATCCTGTACCAATAGAATTTGTATTCCTTCACCCAGAGTTTTAGTTAAAGAAAATAAAAGGATTAAAAATCATCCTTTAAACAGTAGGGTCTAATCATGCCAATGTACCTAAAGTGAAAAAAATGTCATACCTTCATGCAGACAGGGCAAAGGAGTACTTGACTATCTTCAGTTTTTCCCAATTCTTTTCCTATTTCTTCTTTTGCAACTTTTGTAGACAGTCTTTCACATCCACTCTTAGTTAGTTTGAATTTTTGTAAACATTCTCTAAAGTGGTCACCAAATATAGCACAAGAAACAATGTGTTTACAACAGGGACACAATTTTTCAGATTCTGAGCATATAGATTTTTCCAATTCCACCAGGAAATTATTTTCGTCTGTCACTTCCTCTTGAGAGTCCTCAGACTCGGTGCATAGTGTGTCTGGCTGGTCTAGTAAAGAATCACTATCCACATCCAGTAATTCTGGTCTTTCTGTGTCTTTACAAGGTGCTACATCACTATGTGATACATTCTTTGTTCCAATTTTCTTGGGTCTACCACGAGGCCTGGAAGCTGCAGTGCTTTCTGTCTTGACTTTCTTCAGAGGTTTAGAAGGGAGCCTGGGAAAATAAAATAAAATGTTTTATAATACCACAACAAATTGTCTTAATGTAATTGTAGTTCTTCGACAGAATATTTTGCACTGGTCTGTCTTTAGGGTTTAAATAAAGTCAAACATTAACTTTAAACTTCAAGCATTAACCACAAAATAACTTTAGCCATAAACAGTACATGTTTACAGCAGAAATAGTATTCATAGAAAACTTCCAGGGACAGGGAACGGTTGACCCAAGGAATTTTTTTTTTTTTTTTTTTTCAACAAGTCGGCCGTCTCCCACCGAGGCAGGGTGACCCAAAAAAGAAAGAAAATCCCCAAAAAGAAAATACTTTCATCATCATTCAACACTTTCACCACCCCGCACATTATCACTTTTTTTGCAAGGTGTTTCAGAATACAACAGTTAGAAGTTTAAAACAATAAAGAACACAACATATCCCCCCAAAAACGCCAAATCCCAAACCCCCCCTTTTAAAATGCAGGCTTTGTACTTCCCATTTCCAGGCCCAAATCCGACTATATAAAAAAACCCGGTTTTCCCCCTGAATCCCTTCACTAATTATTACCTGCTCACACCCCAAACAGACGCGGGTCCCAAGTACCATTCTCCCCCATTCCCCTACTAACACGTCACCACGTTTCTGGAAGTCCAACCCCCCTTACCCACAAAACCCCCTTTTTAACCCCCCTCTCCCAACCCTTTCGAGGAAAACCCCTACCCCCCTTTCCCTTTCCCCTAAATTTTAAGCTTTCCATGCATTCTGTAAACCATTCTCTCAAAATGACCAAACCACCTCAAAAACCCCCTCTTCTGCCCTCTGACTAATACTTTTTATTAACTCCACACCTTCCCCCTAATTTCCACACTCCGAATTTCTGCATAATTTTACACCACACAATTTCCCTTAAAACAGGACATCTCCGCTGCCTCCAACCGTCTCCTCGCTGCTGTGCTTTTACCACCCAAGCTTCACCCCATATAAGAGTGTTGGTACTACTAAAATTTCATACATTCCCTTCTTTGCCTCCATAATAACGTTTTTTGACTCCACATATACCTCAACGCACCACTCACCCTTTTTTCCCCTCATCAATTCTATGATTAACCTCATCCTTCATAAACCCATCCGCCGACACTCAACTCCCCAAGTATCTGAAAACATTCACTTCTTCCATACTCCTCCTCCCCAATTTGAATCCAATTTTTTTTTATCTAAATCATTTGACACCCTCATCACCTTCCCTCTTTTTCTATGTTAAACTTTCAACTTTCTACCTTTACACACATTCCCAAACTCATCCACTAACCTTTGCAATTTTCTTTAGAATCCCCCAAAAGCACAGTATCATCAGCAAAAAGTAACTGTGTCAATTCCCATTTTGAATTTGAATCCCCAAAATTTTAAATCCCACCCCTCTCCCAAACACCCTAGCATTTACTTCCTTTACAACCCCATCATAAATATATTAAACAACCATGTGACATTACACATCCCTGTCTAAGACCTACTTTTAAACCGGAATTTAGTCCCCCTCTCTTCTACACACCCTAACCTGAGCCTCACTACCCCTCATAAAAACTCTTTACAGCATTTAATAAATTTAAACCCACCTTTTCCCATATACTTGCAACATCTGCCAAAATTGCTCCTCTATTCCACTCTATCATATGCCTTTTCTAAATCCATAAATGCAATAAAAACTTCCTATCTTTATCTAAATACTGTTCACATATATGCTTCAATGTAAACACCTGATCTACACATCCCCTACCCACTCTAAAACCTCCTTGCTCACCGCAATCCTACATTCTGTCTTACCTCTAATTCTTTCAATTATAACCCTATCCGTACACTTTTCCTGTATACTCAGTAAGCTTATTCCTCTAAAAATTTTTACAGTCTCTTTTGTCCCCTTTCCCTTTATATAAAGGGACTATACATGCTCTCTGCCAATCCCTAGGAACCTTCCCCTCTTTCATACATTTATTAAACAAAAGTACCAACCACTCCAACACTATATCCCCCCCTGCTTTTAACATTTCTGTCATGATCCCATCAGTTCCAGCTGCTTTACCCCCTTTCCCATTTTACGTAATGCCTCACGTACATCCCCCACACTTACATTCGCTCTTCTTCACTCCTAAAAGATGGTATACCTCCCTGACCAGGGGCATGAAATTACTGCCTCTGTTTCTTCCTTAAACATTTAAAAGTTCCTCAAAATATTCTCGCCATCTACCTAATACCTCCACTCCCCTCTACTAACTCCCCTACTCTGTTTTTAACTGACAAATCCATATTTTCCCTAGGCTTTTTTAAACTTGTTTAACTCACTCCAAAATTTTTTCTTATTTTCATTAAAATTCTTGACAGTGCCTCTCCCACTCTATCATCTGCTCTCCTTTTGCACTCTCTCACCACTCTCTTTACTTTCTTTTACTCTCCATATACTCTGCTCTTCTATAACACTTCTGCTTTGTAAAAACCTCTCATAAGCTACCTTTTTCTCTTTTATCACACCCTTTACTTCATCATTCCACCATCACTCCTCTTTCCTCCGGCCCCACCCTCCTATAACCACAAACTTCTGCCCCACAAATTTTAATACTGCATTTTTAAAACTATTCCAACCCTCTTCAACCCCCCCACTAAATCATCTTTGCACTAGCCCACCTTTCTGCCAATAGTCGCTTATATCTCACCCGAACTTCTCCTCCCTTAGTTTATACACTTTCACCTCCCTCTTACTTGTTGTTGCCACCTTCCTCTTTTCCCATCTACCTCTTACTCTAACTGTAGCTACAACTAAATAATGATCCGACATATCAGTTTTCCCCCCTATATATAATATAAAAATATAATATAATATATAATATATAATAAATAATAATATATAAAAAATATAAATAATATAATAATATAATATATAAATAAATATATAATATATAATATAATATATAATATAATATATAATATAATTCATAATTCCTTAAGACTTGGTGCTCTTTCTACTTTCCATTATTACAGCACATTAAAATATTAATGCTAAACCCATATGGGTCATACAACTCTGCAATGTGGTGATGTTTAAGAGTAGAGTGAAGTTGGAGGTTAGGAAGAGTGCAAAATTAATATCAAAGTGCAATAAGTTTAGTTTTTGTTAAAAAGTCCGAGAGCTAGTCTGTGTTTAGAGTGCAACTTTCGACAATGAGGTTAATTTGGGTAGCAAGTTAGGTTTAAGATGTGCACATGCATTTCAGGCATATGCCTAAAATGCATGTGCATGATATTTATTTATTTTTTGTGCTCAACAATATTTATATATGAATGATGGTAAAAGTGTTGAACAATGATGAAAGTTTTTTTCTTTCTTTTTGGGTCACCCTGCCTCAGTGGGAAACGGCCGACATATTAACCATTAAACTGCCCAAGCAGATCTACATTCACATGTGTAGTGCTCCAAAAGTAGATCTACGTTTTTTTTACATATTTTCAAATATAACAAACAAAAAAGTAGATCAAAGTTTTTCTTCGTTTTCAAATGTTAAAAAAAAAAAAAAAAAAAATCTACTTTTTTTACATACTTTCAAATGTTGAAAAAACGTATATATACGTTTGGACTGTTTATGGGTTAAAAATAAAAACTTATTACATGTAAACTACATTTTTATACTGAACAAATAAAATTTATGTGCATGTTTGTTTGAAGTGACTCTACAACCATCTTTACAACACTTATGTTGTACCTTTTTGTTTTGCATATTTTTAACCCTTTACAGTTCAACATTTTGTGCTTCTTTATGCAAATATTCTGACTAATCCAGTGAAACAGAATTGAATCTCACAGATAAGGGCAATGCTAGTTTCTAACTCTGGTCATTATCAATACTCTATTTCACACCTTTATGTAACATAGCAAGAAATGTAAATAAAAGGTGAAAGAAAAGGAGCCCATCAATGAGTAATAATAGAGGACTTACACCAAGTAACAAGAGGAAATGTATATCGTTCATAATTGGAAAATTTAAGGCTTAATCATTAAAATTACCTAGTGCATCCAATACAATGCTACTAACTTAGCAAGTTTTCTGTAAAGCAAAAGTTAAAAAGACAAATTACCTGAAGAGTGTGGCACTATCTTGAAAATCATCAGTAATATCGAGTAAAGATGACCCAGACACAGACGGCATATCTGCATCAATTTTTCTCTTTCGAGAAAGGCGAGTGCCTCTACCAGCACTCATTTTAGGCTTAAAAATTTATTTCCTCTTTATTTACAGAAAAATTTATGTTCCTATATAGTATACATGTACTAACAATTTGTTTCTCTAGAAAATGAAAACTGGAGGAATTCTAAACATACAGGAAATGCATAAGTAATGCTGATCAATAGAAGTTTCATTACAAATAAAATATGTAAATTACCAAATGGCTTCTTGTACAATCAATTCTTTACATAGTACAATATAATTCATTCCATTACAAATGAAATGCATATCTCTTTGTATATACATGTACAAAATTTTTAAAATAATGCTGCAGGAAATCCATAACCAAAATAAATTACTTTCATATACCTGTACCCCTGTACAAACTGAGGAATTACATATTTTTACTATCATTAAATCCATTAATGTTCTAACATTGACAAAATTGGTTTCCTTCATACAGTACAGCATATATCAATGATAACTATGCAGAACTTCAATAAATTCATGAGTATTATTCTAATATTTAGGTAAATTAATATTGTTAGAACTCCTTTCACATCCTAATAAGCCCTTCAGTAAAATTATAAAAAAATTATTTTCAGTTTTCAAGTAAAAAGTAATGTTGTGAGATGTAATACTGAAGAGGTGTTCAAGGAATATTCCCTTCTTCTCGGTCCTTTATTTCTTTTCTTATGGAAGCAGAAGATCTTGTTAGAGATTCAAGCATCAGCACTTTGCGACTGATGATAGCCTCATCATCATCCAAAGCTCCGTCTTTGATCTTCTGGACCAACACTTGAATGAGGCAGGTAACTGAGGAATAAAAAAAAGGGGGGGATTGTTTAAAGTAAATTTAACTTAATTTTATTCACAGTGAATACTAATTTTTAATGTTCAGAGGTTTACATTTTAAGTGTGGTATTATTTTTAGCATTTTTACATTAAAAAATAAGCACTAAACCTGTATGAGTTACATAGCTAAGTATGATAACATGTTTTTACCTACACCAAGGAAGACCATGCAGTAATGTTTTTGTAATTTTTTCCAATGTTAAGTTTTTAATAGCAGAGAAGTTCCAATTTTCACTGAACATCACACTGTATTCTTTGGCCAACAGGAAACTCGGGTATACCTGGAGAGAGTTCCAGAGGTCAACGCCCCTGCGGCCCGGTCTGTGACCAGGCTTCAAAATTTTGTCTTGAATGGATGCTAGGCATAACCCACCATACTAGTAATTCTAACATTATCTGTAATTAACAATTCACTACAATAATTTTGTTTTTTTGTAGAAAGCTGAAAAAAATGTATCTGCACACTATACATTTTTTGAGAAGTTTGAGATAGAATGTTGGAAACTTGTATGTATATAAATACTATTCACAATGAATATTAACACAAAACTGGGATGCTGAATGTAGTAGTGATTTCTCTGCACACAAAGGAAAGTGTGGATGAGATTAAACTAAGTATAGAGACAAGTTACAAGATTGGCTCAAAAGTGATGCATGGCTAAATACATATTTCTCTAATCTCCCAAAATAACAATCTGCACAAGAAACATTAATTCCATGGTGCAAAAAGCTTGTATTATAGGAAAATGTAAGCTAATCCCTTTAGTTCTGCACAGTAGTAGTAAATTATAGGCCAAAATATCTCAACAAAACAACAAACTCATTACTGCACATTTCAAACTAAAATAAATAGCTGAAGTTCGCCAAGTGAGAGTCGTATACTTTTAGCAGCACAATTATAATAATAATTATAATGTTATTTATTTCAAACAAGTACCGATACAACTTATAAAACCTAGCTGACATCAATGACATGCAAAATAAAATGGTGTCCGTGCCTGGTAAGCAACACTTGTGTGTGGGGCTCGATCCCTGGCAAGAGTGAAAACACTGGGAAATGTTTCCTTACCCCTACTGACCTCGTTCACTCAGCAAGTAAGTAGGTACCTGGTGTAGTTGACGGGTTTGTGGATGGCATCCGGGGGGGACAAGATTAAGGACCACAATGGCCTTTCTTGGGTTATCCTGGGTGGCTAACCCCCCGGGTTTTTAAAAAAAAAAAAAATTGAACAATATCTTATTTTAAAACCCTGGTTATTATTATTATTATAATCAAAAAGAAGCGCTAAGCCACAAGGGCTATACAGCAAAATCCCGGGTTATGCAGATATTTCAGGCAACTTAGGTTAATCTTGTCCCCAGGATGTGACCCACACTAGACGGCTAACACCCAGGTACCAAATTTACGCTATGTGAATAGTGCCCAGCGGGTGTGAGGAAAAAGTGCCCTGGAGACGAAACGTTGCCACAATAAAATGTCTCATTAGTTCAACCAGTGTCCTTTTACCTAACATTTTGTAGGTAATTCTATCATTATTACAATTATTATTGCCAGGCAATTTTGATAAATTATGATAATTCAATACCCAAATACTACACACTTCAATTTCCTGAGATATTACATATTATATAGTAATATTCTACATTTTAAAACCCAATCAAATAGTTATAATAATAAGTTATAATAATCCGACACCCCAAATACTACGCATTCCCTTTCATAAGATTTTATTTTAAATCTAATAACTACATGAATTCATTCAGAGTTGTAATATTAAACCAACAAGAGCAAAAACAACGTATTTACTCACTGAAAACCAATGCCAATCAGTCCAATACTGCAAGAACTGCAAGAGAAACACGATGTCTAAAGCTCGAAATTTGTTCCTTTGCACGACGATTAAATATGGATCCTCAGTGGTCATGTTAACAGCTGGTATTTTTTTACTCAGTATATGACCAATGTTCAGTATTATATAAAATAAATGGATATACTTCTTGGCGTGCAATGTTCCCCGATGGGGCTGGGGTTGTAAGAGCACTGACAGCTTCACCCTGTCCACCACCACTTCAACTGAAGTACAGAGAAGTAACCTTATTCACGTATACACAAATAGTTACATAATCATACATAGCAGCAAATGTATAAATACCTAGGATAACCCATAGAGTGACTTATTTCCATTGGTGGGCCCCCACCCTAAATAGTTACGCAAATTATCATACGTAAGTAATGGGGTGGTAAATTACCTAGGGTAAACCCCAAAAAATTCAGTTTTTTTATTTCCATTGGGTTCTTGATTATTATTATAATAAAAAAGAACGCAAAAACCCACGGGGCTATACAGCGTGCAGGGCAGGGGGAAGCGAGGGTATTGGGGGGCCCAAAAGGGGGAAGGGATGATTTTTTTTTTTTTTTTTTGACAAAAGTAGTAATAAGAAAAGGCTGCTGAAATGTCCAGCCCCAAAAAACTGACACTATCTCAGAAAAAATTTTGTTTTTATCCCAACGTCCAATCAATACTTAAAAACGAATCCAAAGGGGCTCGGTACCTGGCTTTAAAGGAAATTTTTAAACCCATGAACATAACCATAGGCTTAAAAATGAACCCGGGAAACCACACTTATTCTCCTGTGACAAACATTTATTTTATTTATTTTTATTTTTTTTCAATTTGTGCACACTACAGGGTAAAAAAAAAATACAGAAAAGAGCATATGCCAAACCCACTTATTATGCATAGCATTCCGTGAAAATGGCGACCATCCATACCTAATTCCACTACCCCCTCTTACACATACATCATTCCCCAGATAAAACCAAAAAAACCCCCCCCCCTTTACATCCCCCCTAAGGAACCATCCTTTGTCCTCCCAGGACCCCCCCTAAGGGAACCCACAGTGAGGTTTCTATAACCTTCCCGGGGAAACTTTTTTCCCAAGACCCCTGGTGGCTAAAGCTCCCGATTCACACACGGAGGGCCCGGGTTCACCCCGGGCGGGGGGAAAAATTTGACACGTTTCCTTTACAAAATTTTGTCCTGTTCACCTAGCAGCAAATGGGTACCGGGTTTAGTCGACGGTGTGGGTCCACCCCGGGGGGGAAAAAATTTAAAGGCCCCAATGGAAATAAGTTAGCAGTCCTCGATGACGCACGACTTTCGGGGTTACCTGGGGGGCTAACCCCCCGGGGGTTAAAAACCCGAACGAAATTTACTTATCTTTCTTACCAACTTATTCCTACACTTCCCTAAGAACTGGGCCGCCAACCCCTTTTATCTTCATATCACCCCTTAACCCCCCCTTTTTCCCCATAAAAGTCAGATACCCACTATGATATACATTTAGGCCCTTCCAAAAATCCCTAGGCCTCCCCTTAATCTAGTAGTAAACCCTTAAAAGCGGCAAAGACCCCCCCCCCAACAGTTGTAACCCCACCCATCCTGATCTCACCCCCCCGGGAGGTAAAAAAAAGACCAAAAAACATAAAAAGCCTTTTTCAACATCACCAAAAAAACTGAAAAAAGCCTCTTGCAAAAAAACCCCTACTATAACCCCCTTTGGAAGCCAAATCCCCATGATAAACTTATACAATTTCTTTTACCTCCGGGGTATCCGAACCTTACTAAAACTTTCCAAAAAACCCCCCAATCATACTTTTATACACGGCTACCCTTGCATAATTCCTTGACCTTTCCTACCCTCACCAACCGTTTCACTTTGATTTATCCACCTTTGCCTGTCAAAAAAAAATCAAACATATCTTCACAAACCCAAATTTCCTTTCCCCCACTCCACCATTACGTGCCCCCTCCATAACTTTTTCCTCTTTAGCCCCCCCACACCCCCTTCCTCAAAACCCCACTTGTATATACAGCCATTACCTCAGTCCTAAAGGCAACAAACCTAAACCCCCTCTCCGAACATCCGTCATAATCCTCCTTATTTAAAACCATGCCCCCCCAAATCCCCAACAAACTTAGCACCCCCCTTTGCTTTTCCACAATATCCGTACCTCAAAGGGGAAAAACCTCTCCCACCCCCCATACCTTCAAAGAAATGAATTTCCCACCACTCCCTTTATGTAAAGCTAAGTCCCCCAACTTAAACCCCCTATCTACAAAAACCCTTCCCCCGTGACAGACTCCGAATTTACCCTTTCTGCTCCTGCATTTTCCCCCAAAATACCATTCCCAATCCCTTTATTCTGTCAACCACTGCCCTTCCTAACCCCCCCCCCAAGCCCCCCCCTTTCCCAAATTTACCGACCCTGTAACCTTGATTCACCGTTTTAACTCTCTTCCGGTTTTCATACAAACATCTGAACACCTCCCACCCTCCTTACTCCTCCTTACCCCTTAGCAAAACAGTAGTTCCCACATCCCCAACATGCCCCCTTTGCCCCCCCCTTTCCCATCTCCTGATGTTCTTTCCCCTTCAACGACTCATAAAAGGATCGCACACACCAAAGAGCAGCTGTGACATCGGACACCCCTGCCTAAAAACCCTCCCTTTGGTACACTTTCACCCAACCCCCCCATTGACCTGTACCCCCCCTCTCCCCCATCATACAGGGTGTTCACCCCCTCACTACCCCCCCCCAAAACCCCCAACCCTCTCAAGCAACCCAAAAGAAATCTCTGCCACCAATCGACATTCCCCCAATTTAAACCTGTTTCCCCCCCCCCCCTTAACTCTAAAAACCCCTAATAAACCCATGTCCACCCCTACCTTCTTCCCGGAATTTCCCAAACTGTCCCCTATGTAACACTAAACCCAACATTTTTCCCATTCTGTTGCCCAAAAACTTAGCAAAAATCTTGTAACCAGCACTTTAAAAGTAATCGCACGGTAATCATTAAAAAACTGGGCATTCCTTCTTTTTGGGCACAAAAAACCGTGACACCCGTTTTTTGTGATTTCCCCATCCCCCCACTTAACAAAAATCAAAACCCCCACCAGACAATCCGTACCTCCCCAAAATCCTATAAAAATCGTTTGGGTACCGTCTATGCCTGGGGTTTTCCCCGGGGCACACCCCAAAAACTGCCTCCTCCCCCCCTACATTAAATACCCCGTTTCTGTCACTCCTGTCATTTTAATACCCTATTAAACCCTTCACCCCCCAAACCGCCCTCACCCACTCCCCCGCCAACCCTCCTCCACTTCTCCCTAAAAAAAAAATTTGCATACAAACAATTTTTTCCTTGGTGGTTTGGCTTGACCCTCCCAAACCCACCCCCCCCCTGTACCTTCCTCAAATACCCAAGGGGTCCCCGCCTGCCTTTCCTTAAACCCCCTTTAATACAAAACCCGAGGCCCCTACTCCCCTTATGACTCCTCCAACCCTGCCCTAATCGAATTGCCTAAAATTTTTTTCATTGTAATTTCCCCCAAACCCCATTTGCAAATGTTCCATGTCCTCCCCGCCCCCCCCTTTCCCTCTGCATAACAGTCATTTAACTGACCCCAATTTTTTGTAGGCCATAGCCCACCCGCCACTCCTTACCCCGTCTTTAAAAATTTCGCAATTTCAACTTTAGCCCCATTTCCCACCAATCCAAAAAACCCTTTTCCCATTTTCCCTAGTCCCAAAAGGATTTCCACCAATCTTCAAACCCGTAGGGTCACCCTCCCCCAAAAGTAGCCTCACATTTTTTTTCCCAGTATCCTGCATAAACTCTCCTTGCCACTACCCCCTCAAACGCTATAACACCGATGTCAAAAAACCCCACATCGATAGTCCCCCCCCCACCCATCCCCTGCCTAAAAAATCCTATCAACCGGCCTATATCCCCACGAATAAAAGGTGCTCTACCCATACCCCTTTTTCCCACCCTCTACCACTCCAACATCTCGCAAAACTCCCGAAACCCCCAAAACAAAAAACCCCCCCCGGAACCAAAACCCCCTTCCAATGACACAATTCCAACCCCCCACCAATCCCCGTAAAAGCGGGCAAACCTCTAAAGGATATCCAAACCTCGCGTACAAAATCCCCTTCACTCTAGCTTACAGTTGCGGGGCAGTAACACCTACAAAACTAACCCTCCTGGCCCCCCAAAACCCCCCAACCCTGAAACCCTCCCCCCCCCCCTCCTCCCAACCCGGTACCAAAGGGCGGTTCCTTTTCCCCCGCCACACCCCTTTCAAACCCCAAAACATCACATGTAAAAAACCTATAACCTTTCAACAACAACCCCATCCCAACCTTGGTTATTTCTGCAAAAAACAGACACAATACTTAAACCCTTCCCAAAACCCACTCTAACCTACCCTCTTTACCTCGGTTTTAAGACCTTACTTGAAAAATTTCACACCCGAATTTTTACAAGAATGGCGGCTTACCCCCGTGCCGCGGGTACTTGGTCCTCCTTTCATAGGCTCGGTTCTTTTTTCTATCAACCCTCGTTCCTGCCCTCCAACCCCCCCTGTCACTTCCCCCCCTTTCTTCCCCCAAAGCCCCCCCCCCCCCCCTCCCGCGCCGCCCCCGCCCCCCCCCTCCCCCCCCCCGGCCTCTCCGGTTTTGGGAAAACGCCATTCTTCCCCGCTACTTTGGGGAGCTACCCTCTACACAAATAATAGACCTACTAGACTGGAGAATACATAACCTCACTTCACTAACAAGATAACTAAAGAAAAGTACCTACAAAAACAATTACTCAATCACAACATAATTTAGGGTTTGACATTATGCGTGGAGCCCAGACCGACAAATGAGACGTCAGAGGGAGCATTCACCAAATTTAACTTCAATAACAAAAACTTTAAAATGGGCCAAGTAAACCAAGTCCTAACCCATATAAGCTGGGGAAAATATACTAAGCAAACAACCCAAACTTTGCCAAAACAGATTAAATCGGTGGCACTCG